GATTGCAGTGTCCAGACTAGATATTAATATAAAACTTCGCAACTTGTGCATGAAAACTATTTAACTTTTATAAATATTTTCAACAAAGTATTGGGAGGCGTTTCTAGTAAGTGTTTATTAAGTGTAATTATGCAAAGAGTCTCCCTGTTAATTAATTACTCGTAGAACGTGAGGCGTCACTAGCAAAGCAAAATTGTTCCGCATAGTTAACCTTTCCAACACTAATGTATCGTGAATTGCCGTCTTCCATAACGTGTTGATAAATTATTCAAGTAAATTAATCCTACTTTTAGCTCGATTACTTCTACGCATTGCGTGTTTCAAAGGATCGTTCGATATGTCATATCAGTGATTGATACGAAAAGCACTCAATAAATAATAAATAATTTTAATTAATTACGATTGAAATATACTTAAGCATTAAAATTTAAAAGGGTAGAAAATTGTTATCGTAGACTTGGGAGAAATGCGTGTCGCAATTTCCAAGTAATAAATTTGCATTTAATGCAACACAGTAAGAAAATGCATTCTATCTTTCAAAGTCTCGTAAAATCGTGGTGTTGTATGCCGTAAATGGACTTTAAATCATGTAGATAAGGGTTAAATTCTTTTCGAGTGCGGGTTGCAGGCAAACTGTTGTATAACGTCTGTAATGAAATCCAGTAGTTGGAAATTCAGCTGAATGTGGGAGTAACAGTGTTTACGATCGCGTGGAAAATACAGTTTATGGCCTTCAGGCGGTAACTAAACGGTAATGTAGCCTTAAAGCCGATAGTGGCGCAACGTCCAGATTACAATTAAAGTTTCGATGGATTGTAAAATGATAGCATCGATTCACTTGGAGCCAACTGACTAAATTGGAAGGTTGGTTATACTCGTTACTGACCACGTGAACGGGGATACCAGCAACTTTATACCAGTATGTATTAGATACGTAACGTATAATAAAAATAGTAAACATCACGCTCAAACAAAATAATTAAATAAATAAGCATACTTTTTGTAATTTGTAATAATTATTGATGCCTGTTTCAAATAAAAATATTTTATTTATTTATTTTGAATACTTTTTCTTAAATCTTTACGGCGTTGGATAAAAGTCCTCAATGTCGAACTCAGAATAATTGTCTTGTAATAGAAATGTGATGGGTTGCGGGATATCAATAGGATGTTATAGATAGAGACGGTATATATTAATGGTTTATAGTAAATTGACGAAATATATATTGTAATATTGATCTTATATACTAAATAACAATAGTAAAATATAAGACTACACATATACATAAATTTAATTATATCTTGTGTAATGTAGTTATAGTCTACCTTTACTAGTACATCAATTTTATACATTTCTTAACCTATTTGTAAGAAATTGTAATTATCCTAGCCTATACATATACTTTAACATAAATATGTTGACAGGTAGACACCCTTACAATATTTTTAACAGCAGTGAACAACGAAGATATAATCGGAAGATCCCTGAATATATAAGTAATACTCTGTTTTCGTATTTATCATGGCAGCAAATGAATTTAGATGCATCAGTTATACACCCTCAAAGTAAAGTTATAAAAAGCCAAATGCAGATATAGTTCCTATATGTGCCAGGCGGCAGTTTACGAGGTAATCTGGAGCATCTCTTTGTATTAGTTTCGTACCATTGTAGAGGGTGGAAGATAGACGCGGCGGCGTCGGCTCCGTCTCGCCACCACACCCCCTTACGTTAGGGTTGACTGGTCGTTCTTCACAACATCAGTGTATCACGGTACATACTGTGTCACTAATTCAATACCCACGTATATATATCTATTAATGGATTATATTAATATTTAAAATAATAATTAATAAAACTAATAAAGTATGAGTCGACCTATAAAAAATATTTTTTTAAGCAGGCATGAGTTAATGGATACAAAAATTTGTTATACCTGTAGATCATAAGTAGATGTTTTTTTCCGTAGTTCAGTACAAATATTGTAATGACTATAACTGTTTATAGAAACAAATCTATAATATCTTAAAAATAACACTAGTTAGAAATATTTTTTCTATTTTTCTGTCCTTACCTATATTTTATTTAAAAAACCCTAATGCTGTACAAAGAAAAAAATATCTGCCAAAAAGGTCTCCGTTGTTTGCTTATGATAAACTCGGGCAACCATATTGCAGCTCTTGTGTCATATACTCTGTAAATTGGAGTTTTCCGACGAATACAAGAGCACTCTTGATATAAACCATGACACTTTTTTTCTGTAACCAAGCCTTTATTTAGTTTCTTTATTTACAAAAGTGTGTCACCTTTTAAGATTGCTTTCTTTGGTATTTTATGGCAGCAAAGGATTTTGTAATCCTTTATTATGGAAGGATTTTTAAAATTATACAACATATTCTCAAAATGATAAGGTTAACAATTAATTTTCGAATAATTTCAATAGATATGATAATAATAAGCTTTTTATTGTTGAATTACTGTTAATCATTGATATAGTTAGTAAAACAAAACATTAGTAACAATAGAGTATTGTTGTACATGAGCAACTAATATTAAATAAATAGAGCGAGATTAATGTAGTTGTGCCAGTTCGTAGCTTCAAGCCTACGCTGGTGTAGCGCACGGCTACGTGGTCCTTTTACATTATTATCTATCTTGAGTGATATATCTATTTAGTTTGTTTTGTCTTATTTATTTAGTATAAATAAGATAAACACAGTTAATTTTTATTGCGGTATTGTATGGATATGTAAATTAAAGAAAGTTTACTATATTACTATCTAATAGTACTGCTTCTTATTATAAGTAATCGTACTCAGACATCTATATTAGAATATCATGTTGGTTCGGAATGAATGAATAAACAAATACATCACCAATATTAAAAATTCTTTCACATATAGAAAGCTAAAGTAGGTATATATGTACTATACGCCAGTACATACAACTAGTATGTCTGAAATGACGTCTCCTATCTTTTCTTTCTCCTATCTTTCCGTTTCAGTATTATTAAATATACAATATAATATAAGGAACTCATATTAAAATATATGACGTAGATATAGGCAAAGGAAGTTCAGATAACGGTAACGTGTAACTCCAAGGGTTACAATTCTAACATACTGCGATTCCTTATTGAAGAATTTAATTCATTTTTTGTGGAACAAAATATAATTGTGTAACCATAATTTAAGTACTATGTCAGTCATATGACAATGCGGACTGTTATATTCTCAATGTATAAACTGAGCACTTTATCAAACGCTAAAAGTAGGTTTCTCGGGCTCGCCACAATCGACATTGAGTTTGTATTTTTCATGAAGCCTACATGCCTCGGATCGATACTCGAGGCTGTGAGTTCTCAGATTTTCGGCCTCCTTCGTCTCCTAATATTGATTGTTCGGATGTAGGCCACTACGAGTTTATGGATCGTAAATATTCATAAGACAGAAACAGTAATATGTCGGAAACGGGTCGTATAATTGATGATAATGAATCCATTATATCGTTTGATATACGTTTGCATATGTATTAACTACACGAAATTGACTCAAAAATAAAACAGATAATTAACCATTTATTTTCGTTTCTATAGGACGTATAAAATAAAAATAGCTATCTATTAAAGTTGTTGATTATATGACTATGAAATTTACTTTAACATGGCTTGTCGTTTCATGTTTCTCTACCAAGGCAAAATAGAAAAAATTATATGATTTTATACTGATATGAGTATGATATTCTATGGGGTGTTCGTCGAACTACCGTATTTATTTCTGTGCTATATACCTACTTGTATTATTTTGCCTTTTAATTATCTACAGAAGACTCGGGAGAATTATTAGCCTAATATAAGTACTCCATAACTCAAGATTTTCAAGTAACATAGTCAGTAACCAGGCAGTATTCAGCTAGTGTCACAAGCATACTCATTCATAGGCTGTGAAAGCATCGCACCGTGTCTCAAAAAAAAAATTAGAGTATGTTTAAGAATATGTCCCATATTCAGTGAATTATGAAACATATTCTTACACATACATTATTTTCCTCTTTATGGAATATATTATATAATTCTTGACAAAAATTTCTTTTATGTAACTGTAACGGCAAACAAGCTGACGGAACCGTCGCTTATATATATATATATATATGATGAAGACCGCGACAGACCTTACATCATCGTAAACACACGACCACTGTGATGTTACTCATAAACGGATGCTGCTTGTGAGGACTAGTCTGTACAGATTACTAATACTGATTACACTATTGACTTTTGACAAATTGCAATAGCATATGTTGGAGGTCACTTTATTCTCCCTTTGAATTTAAAAATTAATTTTGTATATTGTAAACAATGTTTTACCAGTTCTTCTCATCTCGAAAGCATTCTTCTCATCTCGATTTGACATAACAAGAGTTTTTAACAGAATATGAATAAAAAAAATTTTTATTTGTTTTCTTATGGCTCCGTACCTAGTAAATAGAACACAGGATGACAGAAGTACTCAAGCCCACAACTGTATAAGTAGACTCTATATTTCTTATGTAATTCTTCTATGGTAATTTTATTCCGTTTACTTATTTCTAAATACGTAATTTAGTCTTTTTGGATAATTGTTATAACTGTAACACAATCACACTAAATTAATGAACAGATTTCAGAGTTTCAGATATTTTATTACGCACCTATATTTTCCATCATCTTACAGGGTGATTTACTTACGTTTCGTACTTTCTTCTAGGTCAATGAACATTTTATATATATACGGGAATTTAATGAACTTACTATATTTTTGTCTTTCCTTACGATTGTTTAGCCTCGTACTTACCGTAACGGGCGCGACATACCCTGAAGAAGACTGCCGGATGTAGTCTAAAGGAATGTCGCGAAAGACGACTATAGTTCACTAAATTCCAATACATAGTAATACTAGTGTAAATTATAAAAATAGTATGGGTTCGAGATATATTATTTCAATTTGTTTTTTTTTTGTTTCAGCCACCGAGCTAGACCTGCTGGGCGCATTGTCCCTGCACAACACGACGCGTGCCGGCGTGACCGTCACGCCGGGCATGCAGCCTCAGCGGACTGCCTACACCCTGCAAGGTATACCTCGTATCTCTACCCGCACTCATATTAACGGAAAAGTTATTCTATATGCCAGATTTAACAATCTTTCTTTTCTATTTTTACATATTTATGATACTCTCTAAAACTGAACAATCAACAACTTAACAACCTTTCAAAACATTAACGCTATAAAGTCTGACTACAAGATCTTTACTGCAACTATAAGTCCGTATATGTTTTATACACACAAGAACTGAAATATGTAGTTAGTAGAATTTAATAGTTACGAAAATAACAACGTTCGAAAAAATTTGAACTTATGCAAGATTTCACAATAAGTATGTCAGCAAATTAAAAGAAATAGTTTAATATTCCCTTTAGTTTAATTCCCTTATATAATTGTTTTAATAACAGTACAAACTTAATGTTCGTAACTATAAATTATGAATTCCTCAGTGCTATAGAATACCTTCATAGTATGCCAACACTTCAAACTAACTATGAGATTAAATTCCCCCGTAGACGAATGGATTGTCGTAACCATAATGGATCATAAACATGGACGGCGCTACGAGCTACGAATGTGCAATCCATTCTGTTGCAATTCTACTTAAGGCGTTCCATTAGTGATGAACGATTCAAGGCACACCTCTTCAAAATTTAGTATCCATACAGTTGATATTAGCTTATCTAACTACAAAGTTGATGACTTATATTACTTTTGAAGCGACATTCCCTCTTTTAATAATATTGTACATACGTGTTCTGTTAATTATGGAATGTCAAACATTTCTCGTTAAAATACATTTGATGTAAATATTACTTAATATTGAAGTACAAATTTTTATATCGTGTATTTATATAGTGTACCTGTACAATTACTTTATCTGCAATACGAAATGTTACTTGTTCGGATATTTTACGCAATATTTAACCAAAACTACTTGATGGATATAAATGTAAGTTGTATATAGATATACGTATGAAATAAATATTCGCCTGATAAATATACACCTGAGATTCTCAGAGAATCTCAGTATAAAGATGTACATTCTTCGAACTAGATCTTTATTAATATAAAGATCTAGTTCGATGAATGTGCAAATGGTTATAATTGTTCAATTAAGCAAATAAGTTCTTAATTAAACCATCCCTACATACCACAAACTATTTTATCGATAATTTTACACTTTATTTTTTCAATACTCTAATAAGCTTCTCAAGTTTACAGAAATTATGTACCTATTTTTTGAGTTATAGATTCCGAGGGCCGCAGACAAGGGCGTGCTTCTATTGTGTTTACCCTAAACTTTGATATTTATAATCGGCATGAAAGAGCGATGAAGACGTGACTCGTGGATAGGAAGTCGATCCACTTCAATACTTTAGGGTGGCGAATGCGACTAACCGATCGTTTTCAATAATGATATATTGCGGGATAAAATAAAAATAATAGACAAGTATATATAAAGATACGCGATGGCAAAATCGTAAAATTGTTGTTGAAAAACGTTATATGAACGAATGAAATTATTTTAAAAGTAAAATATTCGATTATATGTAGGGTACATGTAATCGAATATTTTACTTTTAAAATAATTTCAAAATATTCTCAAGCGAACATAGACAATTTGATATACATCAGACGATGTTTATTTCATTTATGAATAATCAAGTTTAATATTTTATTTTATAGTCTCCTTGATCCAGTTCTAATCGAATTCAATAAATTTTCCAATTCATTCAATTCTAGTGACAAATTGAATTTCTCTGAGTCAGTGTGATCAGATTTCAAATGAGAATGTAAATTGGTTGTAATCCCTGAAAAGCCGCGTCCCCTGACCAGTCTCATTATTGTCCAGCGAACATTAATCCACCCGGCAAATATCCGCAATCCCTCACTGTGGAGATTATTAACTTGCTTCTCCGTTCGCTTGAATTTATGTCGTCAAGGGGTGTCTTTAATGATGATGTCAGAATGCAATGTTTTAATATTTAGATAACGAATTGTAATGTATTATTATAATACTATTGCCGTATCAGATGAAATTATTCAGCCTAACGTATATAAAATATCAATAGCTAACTCACTCCCGCAAATACGTCTGTGTCATTTTCGCCGTTTTTGTGACATTTTTCATTGCAGTTGCGTGATATTTTATATATTACCTACCTCTATGAAGGGCTATGCAACGCAGAAAAAATTTTCAAAATCGGATCAGTAGTATCGAAGATTACTGAGGACATCCATACTCATAAACTTTGCCTCTTTATAATATTAGAATAATTTTATTTCAAAACAATAATCTCGGTAATAATTATCGTCAATAGTATTATTATATTTATAGATTTACATATTATATAACCAATTTAAAATATGGATTACATTTTATTTTAGGTTTATATAAAAGTATTGATTTATTTTTTAGAATCTTTTAATATTGATATAGTTACTTTTATTTTACTTATTATATTTGAGGAAAACAACATTTTCTATACATAATATAATATATCCACATAACGAAAACTATGTTCGAAGATTAATCCAATCTCTGTAATGGAACCAATACATATCGACATATATTACATTCGAATTGAGAAAGAAGACATTTATTGTAAATTCATTCCTCTTTTTATAAATCGGATTTATTTTTATTTCGTTAATTCCAGTATTACGACAACCCTAATATTTTGCAAAAGACCTGCTGTATTATAGTTTCACTTACGCGTAACGTAATCCCTACCATTAAGCACTTGCGTAATTGTCCGAGGGTGTTCGCCCTAATTTGTGGGGATCACAGCTCGTGCCATATTGTCCCATCGTCACCGGTTCAAGTGTCAAACGTCACGAGCAGTGCGGCTTTATTCTGCATCAGAACAATGTCGTATCGGACCCTCCACAGCACAAGCCCTTATCACAAACAGACAGTCTTATATCTCATTGGAGTTGAAAAGGAATACTATTTTTGTAATTAGATAAAAATTTCTATGTGATATTATGATGTCCATATGTAAAAGTCACGAATTTCCAAGAAAATTCTTATAAAGTATTGTATTTGGCATTGAAACTAATATAATTATTTTCTTCGAAGTATATAAAGATATAATAATTTTACTTACAGGAAAAAGTTATGACAAACTCTCGTAAATTGTTGTTAGGTTGGTGTTTAAATTGTTATTACTATATTATAGTCGAGTAGTAAAAATAGACCTTAAATTATGAATTTTATTATATCCTTTTGTAACAGGTCTACAACTATATGAGAAAATAGATATAGATAGTAAAAGGTAGGGGGTAGAATAAATTATTTTCAAATATCGGAAATTTATACGATAATTACTATTATTTGTTTCATGTGTATAGTTTCTGTAGAGGTTCTCTAAATGCTACAGATGGTCAGCGGTATATCTCAGTTAATGGGAATTGATTAATAGTACTATATTTTTATTATGAAACCATGTCCCCCGCTACGTCCGCCTATATATTCATTATAACCACAATAACTACTGAACAGATTTTCATCCATCAACAGAGTGATTTCTGAATACGGTTTAGACGTATATTCGTTAAGGTTTAATATTAATAAAAAGTAATTAATAAATATAAAAGTTAACCCATTTATTTATATATATATATATATAGTAGTAACATTGAGATTTTCTATTAAAATATATTTGTAAGTAATCAATTATCTAACAATTCATAAACAGAAGCCTGTAGTAGACATATAAACTAATCACAACATAACATTGAAGCCCTCGGAATAGTAGGCCGTCCGACGACTAGTCAATGTCGGGGACAGCGGCGCTGTCATGTTAAATGCATATTACTAGCATTATAGTACCAAGCATCGCAAACTGCGCTCTACTCTACTTCCACATTGTCATGAATAAATCATGTAGATACATGGTCAGTCAGATGACTGACCACATATTAACCGTCTTTTCAATGGAGGAAGTTCGCAATAGGAGCAGACGTTTAATAATACATAGATAATTCTTTAATTTATTTGTTATTAATAGTGCACAATTATACTGTAATCAAAAATAATATTTTTCCAAATAAATTAATTAACTTAAGGTACATTTACCTTAAAGTTAACTAATCTAGGGCGGTACTTGTCATCTGTATTAACAAAAAATTTTATAGATTACAAGATCTACGGTAAAGAAAATATGAATAGATTTTGATTTCTTTTTCTTTGCCCTATTGTATTTCTTTTTCCATGTCCATAGTAACTCATTTTGCTTAATATAACCGCATAATAAATTTCATAAAATTAAGATCAGTAATTGACATATTTGACACCAAACACAAAAGCAGACAAATTAATAGCTTAAGCTAATTATTATAGTGATTAGTACGGATAACATTACATATACATAATAATAATAATAGATTTTTTTTTATTCAATTCACACAGCGCCATCTAGTGCCAAGCTAAGCAGAGCTTGTGTTGTGGGTACTAGATAACTGATATAAATACATGGATACATTTTTTTTTGTAAATAAATACATATTATACATAGAAAACACCCAGACCGATACCAACAATCATACTCATGAATATAAATGTTTGTACCGTGCGAGGAATCGAATCCACGACCATCGGATAGTAAAGCGGTGTGCTAAACCTCTAGATCACCGAGGCTGTCATAGACATATTATATATTACATATAATGATATCTGAATTATTCATTATAATAATGTTCAGCTTTTTTACATAGGCTACATCTTGATTACCTTCTATATATACCTCAATGAGTTTGTGATCTTTCCTTGCTCAGTGAACCGCCCTGTTACCCACATAAGAGAAATCACGCGAAAACTTCAGACCATTGACTCTTTATGAATGAGTGGACAGTGGACATGTAAAGGCCCTCTATGACACTATGTTTAGCTTACAAACAATACTAATTACTACATAATTATTATATAAATAGGTATATTATATATTATTACAATATAATTATATATAGTAACTAAAATTGACTCGCAAAATAGATACGTTAGTAAGTCCATCGTGGTGCTTATTGCCTATCCTGTTACATGTGTCTCTTATGTATTGTATATAAATACTATAGTATAATATTATACATTAATTTTACAATTTCAAAATCAAGATGGATATATTAAAATAAGATATTTTATCTGCACATTACATTTTATATATTCTCATATTATGTAATACACAATTGTTATAACAAAAAGAGTCAGAGTGTTATTTGGTCAATCCAAAGAATATTAAGGGTTTTAAAGATCACATATAATGTTACATAATACCAACGCTAGAATAACAATAGCTCTAAAAGGTTAGGATTACATCTATTGATGGACGGGACGCTACGGCGATGTAAACCTATATTATATTTGCTCAAATGTTGTTACGTGGAGGTGCAACTTTTATTTTGGTAAACTATATTAAACATTAATAAAACAAATGTTAAGAATGTAATAATATTAGAGAAGTATTTTATATATATGTATAAAGTTATTTTCCGGAATAAAAATGAGCCGTCTTAACATTAACATATAGTTCTGAAATATGTTTATTGTACTAACTTATAAATTATATATGTACTATATATTGTTATAGGTCCTAAGATTGCAATTTCGGATTACGGTAATGTTATATTATTTGTGAATACAAATCTGGCACATGTGCGCAAGTGATAAACGATTGCCAATAAATAAAGGCCCGCGGGCAACCATTCAATAAAGTGTTTACATAAAGCTTTGCAAATATTTGCTTGTCGCCAGAATGATATTTGGGGTGATTTAATTAAACCAAAACATTGCTGGGGTTGCAATAAAAGATATGCCCGGTTATAGCCGTCATGTTAATATGCTTTGAATTTATTACGAACTGAAATAGGTATGAAGTACGATACCGGCCAACCCCACGTTAAAAACATATGTACTTAAATCTGTCATCCGTGCCTTGTTTAAGAATGATTTATTACATTATTTAATCTAAGATTTTCGAAAAAGACGGGATTGGTCCTTCAATAGTTTTTGTTAAGCGATATTCTTAGGAATTATGTATGGTATGCCGATTCTGTTTATATTTAGACAACTTAGATTATATATAGACAACTGTTTTATCATGGATAAGAATCACGCACAAATGCACTCATTTGCTATATTTCTTCACACTCTCTTGAATCATTAAGAAAGGAATTATGAAAGACTTGCATGTTAGACGGCCAAATAAGATTAACAGATTCATAAATTTTAATTTAATAATAAATCAAATAAACATACAAGGGTAACAACATAATCTTTTCTGCGATGAAAAGTTTTCATTACATTTTATAAGTCGTTGAACTACGAATACCAAATAAATCAGAACTAACGACCTCCGACTTTATCCGGAAAAATGAAATTAGTCAAATTTTCGAGAATGTCATTTTGTCCGATAACTGGCACACGAGCAGTTACAGTTCAAACGAGTGAGTAATAAAGTGCGCAATACAGTGAGATTTAAATTGGCGAGGGTAGACGAGGGATGACGAAATAATAACGCACGTGAATGACGGAATGGCCCCCTGTGGCGGCGGTAAATCGCGCGGAAGGGGATCGCAACGGACGAAAGGGGGTGCTATGCGACCACGGAAAAACAACTTCTCGGCTCTTATACAATGCTTTCTGATTTTTAACTTATTGAAAATTATTCCAAGGTCTAATAAAAATGATAAGAATTTATTCAGCTTGGATTAACTTGTGCGTGAATTTAGTTGTGTGATCACGGCGTTACAAAAGAACTGTATGATTAGTTATAAAATGATCTTGTCTTTTGAAATGGTATCTTTACAATATCAATTCCATACATTGTATAAACGATATCACATTATTAAGACGATAATATATAAGAGTTTTCAATATTTATAGAGGGCCGAAGATGACGGTAGATGTAGACAACTATTACGAGCAGACAAATCTGTCTTACGACTACCACTGGAAAAGTTGATAGTCACAACAAAAAACGTAAGAAGTAATACATCCTACTTTTTTGGATTAAATTTACGAAAGAACTACTATTTACTTAAAACTATTTTCGGTAATTAGAAGTATAATTAAATATCTCAGCTATTCAAAAGTTGATTATGAGAACATGTTACAAGAGTATTATCTATCAGAGAAGTAATAGTATTTATTTATCAGATTCCTAATGGGAACAGGTACAGGATAGGTATGTATGGATAACCTTATATTCTGACATATTCATCACTTATACTTTGTAAACTTACGTATTCACGTTGATATTAGTTTGTTTAATTCGACTTCGCAGTGTTTGAAACATCTAACAATATTAATATGACATCGAATACATATACATATGTACAAATAAACTTCGAACGGCGAGAAAGTTCCCAACTACCCCGACAGTTCGATGACACCCGCCCACACCTACCGATTCGTAATATACTCGGTTATTATACGACTGAAGGAAAAACAACCCAATTCGAGAATGTTTCCAGGAATTTAAGTGTACGGTGTTAACGTTTACGTAATCCTTTCCCCATAGCGATTATTATAATAGACTTAAACACAATACGTATTTTGTCTAATGTCTAACTAAAGTGGATTAGTTTAAACATAGTATACTAATATTTATAAGTATCATTTTATAACAGAGTATCACGATCTAATTAAAAACATGTTTATTTATTATTGACATATACTTTAAATGTGTAGTAGGACTTGTTATTAAATCTATATATTAAACCAAACCTGAGAGTCTCTCAGTATGAAAAAGAAAAATAGATGATCATTAAGAATTTTAAAATAAAAATCGTCCCATAACGAGGTCAAATAGGGAATAGAGTCTATAGCTGTTGTCAAAGAGATAAATCTCATCAAGCTAGCATCCGAATAAAAGACCGTAAAGTTAATTTGTGATGAGTCTGATGAGTACTATAACCGTAAGACTTTGGTTATATTTAGTAAAGTCATTAACTATTCTTCTACGGGTCCAGTTCAGCTTTGTGATAAAGAGTACTCATAAGATATTTTTTTATAAACTTTACTGAAGCGAATTTGAATAACAATAAACCAATTTTATTAAGAAAAGTAACTGTGGAATCTGCTAAGATGTATATCTTATAGGTACAGTGCATTCTTCATCTCCCCTCACCTAAAATGATATTTAATATCAATTAGTTTGCACATTCACTCTACAGTTAAAAATCAACCATAGTAGCTTGAACCGTTCATGTTTGAGGAATTTCTTGAATGACGTGTCTACTACATTGGATGTAGCACCCTCTAATAGAGCGGTAGGGTAAGAATCTTTTAAAATTGCTTCATATTTCATTTGGATATGACTGAAATAACGTAGGGGAAAGTCTTATTAATAATGCAGTAAACTGCAATATTATTGCCTTTCCATTGACAAACTTCTGTATCTTCTATAATATACATAGTCATAATACAATCATTTATGAATTCAATGGGGAAAATATAGTTTTTACTACTCTGTCGTGTATATACGTAACCACAATGGTGAGTTCATTGGTAATATTATATTATGTATATAATGCAAACTAGTAGTGACATTCAATATACAGAAATACAATTGTTCAATATGTGAATCCGCTACCCGCATTGCGGTTACTTCGGTAGTTTATATTGAAAATATATCTGTTATCTATATTTTTATACTTTATGTTGTTTTATTTTTCCAATGTACATGGAATCAAATTACCCGAAAGTTCAAACTTTGTTGTATAATTTGGTGACCTACTTAATTTTTATCGGGGGAATATAGCCTACTTTTCGTTAATCTTATTTTCATTTATAACATTTCTGATTGTTAATGTCTTTATAATTCAGGGTTACTTAATGCAACGAAAAGAAATGGGGAAATTTAGGTCCAAGACAACAAGTAGGCATTTGGCTTGTAGCCAATAGCGATCGTTATGATGCCAAGGACTTTTAAGCACGAAACTATCACGTGGGTGGTATTGTTTGATGCCTATCTCAATTTATTGCACCGCAAATTGTAGGAAATGTCAAAAGTAAATTCTATGGAACAAGGACTGAGTAGGGGTCAAAAATATGTATGACATAATTTTTAGATGGCCCTTATATAACTTGAGCAATTGTGTAACATTGCAGGGGAGTCGAGGTCACTGCAGGTGGAAGGAAGCGCCTTCGAGCGCGCCGCGGAGTTGCTTAGACGTTCGCCGGAGTTCACTGTCTTGGCTGCGTTGCGGCAAGAACCTGCCAACTCCGGAACCATACTATCATTCTCACACGGCTACAACAGGTACCATTTCAGTATTTTTGTCCTTGAAGGAACTTTGGTTAACAGCGCACTAACACATAAACATTAATTACAGTACAGCCATATAAAGGCCTGTTTTCACAACAAATCAAATTAAAAGAATTAGCGAAATATCATAAATCTTACACATAATTCTATGACATCTAATTTTTGCCTAATAAAATGAGTATGAACCTAATTATTGCAAAAGAATTATTGTAATAAGATTTATTGATTCAATCAATTTGATGTCGAGTAGAAAGTTTCCGATGAAAATCAACGGGAGGCACGAGGTGTACGCCGCCGCAGACACGGTACCGAGGAGCGGCGGCGCGGCACGCGGAGCGAGGCGGCACCGCACGGTGAGTTCTAGATCTCAACATCGCTGCGCGTGCACGCATTTCGCCTCGCGACCCCATGCGTGCGCGCGCATAGGGGAGAATCATGTATCTTGGAATGTCCTGTGCCTCGGAATGTCCTCCTCGATCCATCCGTTGACCTTATTGCGCTCACTGTGACCTCTGCATGGATATATGTACACGAGGGAGAGCCGGCTTGCATGCGCTGCCCGCGTTTCCTATATTGCCGTCCGTCTTGTGTTATGTGTCTTGACGTGTTGTGTTTGTAACTGTCCAATCGTCCCTATTTATCCGCCTCTTGATGTTTACCTGGATGTTAATGTTTGCCGTGACGCGTTCGACCACGGGTACTTTTACTCTCAGAGGACACCGTCGGGCTCGTCCGCACTTGCATTCCAAGCGACATGGGATTCCCTATTGTCTCGTTTTATGTTCGACGACTGTCTACATCACGTCACGCTCCTCGCTTCCAACGAAGGGATCGCCCGCGGGGTCGTCGACGGTTGTAAATGTTCCCAAATATTTCTGTGTGAAGTCGGACACATTACGAGACGCTCAATGCCTCTAAGTTGAGATCTGTCAGTTGCCTTAGAAACTCGGTCGAGACCGAACGCGATTCGTTCCGAGGTACATGGTCCCCTATCCTGGCCGAGCGATATTGAGATATAGAGCGAGCCGAGGTCCGCTCGCAGCCGGTCCCGCCCCGTTCGCAGATATATGTGTTGTTTGCTTTGTTTATGTGTACCTCGGAACAGTTCGCGAGGAAGCGGCGGAGACATTCCGAGAGCGCAGTGCGATGTGTAATGCATCAGTGTGGCGGTGCGCAGGTACTTGGAGGTGCAGTCAAGTGGTCGCCGCGACGAGGTGCGACTGCATTATGTTGCTGCGGGCACGGCTACGCCGCGCGTTGAAACCTTCCCGTTCCGGTTGGCGGACGGCGCGTGGCATCGGCTTGCACTCGCCGTGTCGGGGGCACAAGCCACGCTGCTGGTCGACTGCCACCCGCTGTACCGACGTCTCATTTTGCCACCAGATCGTAACTTTACCCAACCTCAGCTATCACTATGGGTTGGACAGAGAAATAACAAGCACTCGTTATTTAAAGTGAGTCCTTTCTTCCTATTCATTCTTAAGAACAAAATCAAACTTCTCAAACTTATTTTTTACACTTTGTTGACAATATTCTATAATCTTTTTACACCGTATTTACAAATATTCCTATGTCGTGTGAACTTTTACAAAAATTTAAGTTGATTATTACAGGGAACACTGCAAGAAGTTAGACTAGTAAGCGGTCCACATGGCTACTTGGCGCAATGCCCAGGACTGGACTCTGAATGTCCCACATGCGGCCAATTCGCATTATTGCAAGCTACCGTACAGGAATTGACTACGCATATCCATGACCTCTCACTCAAGGTGATTAAGATATTATTACAGAAAATAAACTCAAATGGTGATACGGAATATTTAATTATGTATATATGTCTTTCCAGCTAGTAGGTGCAGAGGCGAGATTAGCACGATTAGAGCAATGTGACTGTCAAAAGTCGTGCTACTCTAATGGTACTGTTCACGCTGATGGCGCTACTTGGCAACGAGACTGCAATCGCTGCTCCTGCGTGGTAAGATAACTAATATTTTTTTATCTGTTGCAATTAAAATTAAGGGAATTTATAGACATTAATTCAATTTCATTTCACAGTTCTCTAATATATTGAGCATTTTAACTATTAAAAAAGAGATTAAGATTATGTTATCAGAGCTTTAAGTAAACTATAATATATATATAATTAAACTATAATTAAGTTTCGTTACAAAAAAATAAATCTGAAAACCAAAGTAGTAATTTTATGCATCTTTTTTATTTGCAGCACGGTGAAATTACGTGCAGGCCAGTAGAGTGCGATAGAGCAGAGTGTAAGAATCCAGTACTACACCCTGGAGAATGCTGTCCTACATGTTTAAGTAAGCGATATTATTTAAACTTAATTATATAATACAAGGAAAGTCAGCTTTTTTATCCATATATATTACCTATTAATTCTGCTGCCAAATAACATGAGAAATGGGATACGATAGTGTAATTAATAGTATAGATTAGTAATCTGTGGTACAGGAATAGGCTCTCTTGATTAATATAACTTTTACTACTACCAAATCTTATAGGTTTTATATGGAGATACCTCACATTGAGTTCTATGATGGTCATATTTATAGCAGTTGGTATAAGTAGTACAGTATAAATAGTTGTTAAAATATTGTATTTGTATACATTATTATACAGAAAAATATAGTAGTTTATTAGGAAAATATCACACGCATTAACAAATAAAACTGAAGTAAACATTCAAATTATAACGGAAATTTTGGAAAATCCCCATGCTGATGGTTTCCACAAGATTACATTTTCAATGATAATAACTTTAGCAATTCACACTGTGTCATCTAGTTTCAAGCTAAACAGGTAAAATATTAATACATTAATATGATTTGTACACATAGGACATTGCCTACTGAAGGGCACACTGTACGAGCATGGCGACAGGTTCGCGCCGAAGGAGTGCGCGGAGTGTGTGTGCCACGACGGCAATATGCAGTGCTCGCGTGTCGATCCCGACACCGCCTGCCCGCCGCTGCCCTGCGACCCGCCCGACCAGTTCACCGTGCCGGGGGAGTGCTGTAAATTCTGTCCAGGCAAGTCATCACCAACTCTAGACAAGCGAAGGGAAATCTTAGATCAGAGCTATATTTTAGAGATTACTAATATTCTCGATTTGAAATAGATTTACTATTGAGTCAATGCTTTGTAAAATGATTAATCAAACTTATTATACCTTCTATGAGTCTATGATTCGAGATGATGATGTTATTTTTATGTCTTGAGTCGTGAATGAAGGGCACGAACTATAAAGTAGATAAATGTTATTTATTATTCTACTAACTAACTATAGTTAGTTTTCAACAAGATGATAATTCTAAAAAAATCTGTCAAACTCATGTGTTATTTCATAGGTGTGGACTATTGCAGCATGGGGCATTCTTGCGACGAGAATGCGACATGTATGAATCTCAACACCAAATACACATGTACCTGCAACCAGGGCTTCCAAGGCGATGGCCTCACTTGTCAAGGTATGTTCTATGTTTTATAAATATTGTTATTCCTAACAATCCCTGATTATATTACAAGTTGCCGAATTTATTTGCATATTCTCACAAAATGTTAACCTATAACTAGGTTCTAACATGATATTTAGAAAAATCGTGTGAACGTCGATTTATACGAAAATATTAACCTTAACTTTCAGTACTGAATCTGAATATATGTTACGAGTTCTCTGAATTATTTTAAACATAATTATTTTTTGTAATAACAATACTAATATTTTACTGGTATTCACAACGGAAGGTTATAAAAGCCGATTTAATGCATGAGAAAGAAAACAAGAACCCTGACAAAGCCGCTTAACCAGTATAGCGTAATCGTACATTAATTCCTCTTTTTCACGTATCGAGAAGTGATCCAGTGCGAATTATTCTACTAACAATTAAGTACCCTCACACTTTAGATTGCGAATATCGTTTGCAAGTTGTTCTTGCATTGTTCGTTTACTCTGAATCCAAATACAAAATCTATTAATATTTCCAGATGTGGATGAATGTCAGGAAGCAGGCGGGTTACGAGGACATCACTGCCACCTCAACACTCGATGTGTCAATGTCGTCGGAAGCTACGTATGCCAGTGCCTACCCGGATATGCCCGCCGGGATAAATTCAATTGTGTTGAAGTATGTAAATAAAGTATACTTCTTTGTAATGACAATCATTAGATGACAATACTTATAAATTACCCTTCTACTATCTATAATAGTAAATATGATATTATTTCCGAAGTACAACACGCATATTCTAATATTCAGAAAAACAACAGATACGATATCATGAACATTACGATTTTTAAATGCTCGTGGTGGTTTTTTTCTTTATAGCCGCTTGTTATTAGTTCCACACCAGACGGGCTTATTTACTATTACAATTAAATAAAGAAAAGTTGATAAAATTTTGTTTCCTAACTAGTCAAAAGTATATACAATTAAGATACCTGGGCCACAGGTGACAGTGATATGAGACAAATCGTGACAATTGCAAACAAAACGGACATGTATGTGTTGCTATCTCTATCAGCTATCTCATAGTTACCTGTAAAGGTCGTCAACAAACCGATCATTTAAATTCATATTAATATTATAAATGCGAAAGTGTGCCTGTCCGTCCGTTTGTTAAGTTTTCAAGATTAGACGGCTGAACAGATCTTCATGAAATTTTATATGAAAGTAAATTGTATCACTAAGTAGGACATATACTATATTTTAACTCTGAGAGAGTAAAATTTATTCTGACGAAATCCCGCTAGTTATTATAAATGCATTTTAACATAATGTGAATAGTAATGCCTATTATGTGACCAAAAGTAATAATATTTTGAATATCCCATTTTAATGGAAACAATAAAAGTTGATAACCGTTTAGGTGGACGAGTGTGCGAGTTCATCTCACGGATGTGACGCAGCCGCAGAATGCACCAACACACCTGGCTCGTATACGTGCCGGTGCCGCGACGGGTACGCCGGCGACGGCCACACGTGCACGCGTAAGTCACACCTCTACAACCGACGGAAATATTTCTCAATGGTATATGAATAGCTCATCACCAACCCATAGTGATTTCAACATCACGGTTTACTGGTCAAAATTTATTCTGTATTCCTTCTACCTTCTTCACGTTCCCCGCTCACTGAAGTAAACACCACAGACATATGGCGAGGTATTTATCTGTGGCATACATGATAAATAGATATAGAAATATAAATAAACTTTATTCAAATAAACTTAATATAAGTACTTTTAAATAGTCAAGTTTTTTTATTCTACCGCTTATTCAGAATGCAGATTCATCACAAGAAGAATAAGCAAGAAACTTGTGTGTTGCTCTTTTAAATAAATATTGATTTACTTATATTTAATTAACAACAAGGATTAGGCATGCGACAATCAACATAGAAACCGCTAGGCACTTAATCTCTGTTCAATCAGATAACATTGTCAGCGCTATGAATTTTAAGTTAGATATTTTCTACAAAAACATTATTAGCATTTATAAATTCTGCAATTTTATAATAAGCTTTTTTATAAAGAAAATATTTTATAACACATTTGAATTTTTTTGCTGGCAAATTGACTACAGACTCTGGGAGTTTGTTGTAAAACCTTTACGCAATTTCCATAAAACGAATTACTGACTTTCGTCAAACGGCACTTAGGTAAAACTAGTTTGTTGACATTACGTAAGCTTTTATTAGTGTAATCACCTACTTTTTTAAAACTGTTAATGTTTTTCCTGGCATACATAATATTTTCGTAGATGTATTGAAAAGATTTAAATAATAATAATTTGAAACATTCGTTATAATCAAACCGCCTGCAGTAATGATGTATGCTAGCTGAAATTTAACCTTCCTAAATTTGAATACCTGCACCATGATTAACAATTTTAGATATTTTGCGTGACGTCGGCCTTATGGAGAATGTGGTAACGTTTGCAGCGATCTGCACGGGCGGATGCCTCAACGGCGGAGAATGCGTGGCCCCAGAGCGGTGCGAATGCGCGAGTGGATTCGTCGGGGCGCGGTGCGAGCGTGACGTAGACGAGTGCAGTCCCGCGGCCCCCACGCCCCCCGCGCCCCCAGCTCATCCCGCGCTACCCTCACATACACGTGCACCGTGCGTTCCGCGAGCGCACTGCGTCAACACGCCCGGCTCCTACTACTGCGTATGCGCCGACGGGTACCGCCGCGATACTCACGGAGACCACTGCGAAGGTTTGATCACATCCTGTCTTGTCATTGCTCTTGTCATATACTATTTCTAATATAATGTTAACATATTACTGACAGGTTTAATAAGAACAACCGTTAAAGTTCTTGCAAGCTTATCTTGAGTGCTTACTGAACTATGATTTGACTAAAAATTTCTTATATGTAAAAATCAATTAATGTTTATTCTTATTGATCCAAGTATGGTAATATACATTTATGCGATTCATGACATGATTTTTTAAACGTAACTCAGGATTAAGGAGATTTGTGACGAAAGAACGTCTATGTAAGTAATACTTGAATAAATGTATTATCCTTATCCTATATCATCTATTGGCATACTTTTTTTCGATGTCCTAAATGTAGATTTTTTTTATGTAATTTGAATAATTATAATTTTTCAGATATCGACGAATGCATGGAAGGATTTCACACGTGCCACCCGAGCGCACGCTGCGTCAACACCGACGGAGGTTTTAGATGCGAATGCGACACGCAACCCTGTGAACTCAGTTAGTACATACAAATATATACTGAATTAACTATAGTTTAGTTACCTAGTCCTACCTTGCAGCATTATTTTAAAATACATGGATTTTCATTTGCTTTACGTAATTCTGTTGTATTTTGATTTAGGGGTGAGATACGAAATTAATACTAATTACTTAATTACAATCCTAATGCGATTCTTAATTCGCTATTAAGAATAGTATTTACAGGAGCCGGATGGTAGTCAATGTATTTCTGACAGCGACGATTATCAATTTTAGTATTACTTTTTATTGGTGTGATGACAGGATTGGTGGTAACTTATGTGTTATGATTCTTACATGTAATTCTAACTTACATATACTAGTTATTGGGACTATATATTTTAACCGCTGCGTGAACGTTACATAAAGTGACTTATCTAACGTACACTGGTACATTCAATTATTGTACATGATCTACTAGTATATCACAATTGGTGGAAAGTAATAAAAAGTGTTTTGCCGTTCGTGTGCGCAGGCTGCGCGTGGCAGGGCGAGGTGTTGGCGGACGGGTGGCGCTGGGCGGAGGCGGGCGGGTGCCGCGCGTGCACGTGCGCGGCGGGAGTGGCCTCGTGCTCGCGTGCCGCTTGCGCTTGCGACGCCGACAACCGCACCGTTGCAGTACGTGCTCACACGCTATTTGCCCAAATTTGTATAATCGTTGCAATGCTAGCTGCAGATCTACTGAATGGATTTTAATGAAACTATACAATAATAATATAGCTTATACATCAGAATAACACAGGCTATAAATTTAACGCGGGCGAAGCTAATAAACTATACTGCCGAAATCGCCTTTACCCCTCTTTCTTGTATATGATTTGTTTCACTGATACTGATAAGATTTGTTGACTTTACAGATAAACCTAGCACGCAAAATTAATTGTTTAGTAAAATATTAATTAGATAATATTGAAGTCATTGTTTAATTAAACAGTTTCAGACTACAGAGACATCACTGATGATTGCGCCGGAATCGTGCTGTCCACACTGCGAACCGCGCTACCACTGCCGTCACCAGGAAATGCATCACGTTACCTTCCGCAGTGGCGAGCGCTGGCTCTACCAGTGCCAGATCTGCGAATGTCTAGTACGTAACTCCTGAAGTGCTTCGCATATTGTATGGTTTTTTAATATCAACTATTAGTAATTACAGTAATTAGCTCCCTTTACACGTACGCTCTTTCACGTGCGAATCGCCTTTCACGCAGAAAAGAGTGTGCATATAAAAGTGAACAAAGAACGAGAACGAGAGCACGCGCTTGGTTAGCCTACACAATCCCGCATATTACAATCGTGGGTGCTCATCATTGCAAAATGGCGGACATCTGCCCACTGAGTAAATACCTAATTACAGACTTGTAGATAATTAATAAATGTTAAATGTGTCTATAGAAAATAAAATTTGAATATTGACAAAATTTTATAAGAAAAAACAAATACAAGCAATCGTGTCCGAAAAAGTGAAGACAAAATATATATATATATATAAACAATCACTCAATGTAACGCGCGCGCTTTTCTTCGTGAAACCGGGTCATTAACATAAATAATGATGACTAAGTAATCGCTTAATGTTTTCAGCTGGGTGAAGTGGACTGCTGGGAGCCGGAGTGCGAGGAGGCCGGCGGCGGGTGCTGCAGGGGCGGTGGCGGGGGCGGGGGCGGCGGCGAGGGGGGCGCGTGGCGCGCGCCGCACCGCCTCGAGCTGGCGGGCTGCGCGCCGCCGCACTGCCCCGCCTGCCAGGTACGCGCGCGTCACTACCGCACGCTTACGTTCACGTTACACATCGGCGACGAACGCACCTTAAGCCCGCGTTTGATATTTAAACACGCGTTTTTTTAACGTGCGCTTTTCTAAACAGTGCTTTTTTAACGCGCACCCTACAAGGGTTTACCCGTCTTTTACATGCAGCAGCATGTGTCTGCTTTAACAGAAATTATTAAATTAAAATTTCGCGATAAACGCTTGTCATTTTGACATACTCACATCGTAACAATGTGTTGGTACAAATACCAACACGATGGATAGGAATCAGTGTCGTATGTAAGCCACGATGATAATCAATTTCAACTCAAATTGAATCTATATTAAAAAAATAATATGCATGCTGTGCTTGCAATAAACATGTACCTACACTTTATTTTAAGCAAAACTAGCTGCAAAATTGTGTCCATCAATACCTGTAGAGTTATGGCCGTACCTGCCATATCCATATATTAAGCAACGGGACGTAAGACACGCAGTACGGCGTAGGTAACATCGTTAGAAATAAAAACTATGCCGCACAATTGTATCTAGTCGCATTTTAGAGAACAGTCGAGCGACATTCCGTAAAGCTACAGCTCAGTAAAAAAAAGTCACTAATACGAGTATATCTGAGTTAGTGACTTTCCATCTGAAAATATACGCCAACCTTTTTTTATTTACGCATTTAATCACTTAAATTAACATTAATATCCTATTTTGTACACGCTCCCGAATATATATTCATAATTAATCGTGGAGAATATATTTCATCGCGCTGGCGTTTACTACCTTTCGATGTAGGTACATTAGGACCTTGACTCACACTAGTTGTGTGATGTTTAGATCAATGGTAAGATGCCAAGTAATTTTTACGTAGTATTTTGCCTCCAGCTTGATTACCAGCCTTTATTACTACCGTTAACAAGTAAATATTTATTCTGTTTAAAAATTTAAATTACTATATTAAAATATGTGTAAATTTATAAGAGGCAAAACATACTTAGTAATTAAATATGGCATCGCATTAAAAATAAAATGGAACTAATCTCAAAATATTGTTTACAATCGAAAACAAACTTTTATATGATAAATCAATCATATTATTATAAGTCACGTTATCATTACTCTACAATATTACAGTATGTGTAAATTCACGATAGTCGATTAAAATCAGTAATTTGTAATTTATCTCTAATTAAACAAATTTATATAAACGCCACATTCTGCAGTTATTACCGTCTACCGCCATCTTTGCATATTTAATCTACACGAAATCGCTACTAAATTGCTTCCATGTTCTAAACGAGTTTATGCTTACGTGTGCAACAATAATTTAAAAGCTTTAGCCATCTAATTTGAACTGCTTACATAATTGTCCCGTGTGAAAGCATTGTTTCCGCTTGTTGCAGGGCGGGCAGTGTGCTACTTTGGTGAGCAATCTCGCGTGTTGTGTGCATCGGTAACCATCCCCACTCTTCTTATTCATTCATACATTGCTCTATTAACATGCATTTATTTATGTGCTTTAGTCTTCAATTTTACTTAACAATCAATACGGTTTCATATTTATATTTGGTATCTATTTTCTTTAGATAGATGCCAATATTGCAATTACACGTTTAATTAGCGCCCCAAATTAATGCAAAAAATTGGCGCCCGACGTGGGAAACTAATATTTTGAGCGTCCCATACTGGGCGCCAATCATTTTAACGAATTGAAGACTATCATTTCAAATATCATTTTATGTTGCATGTTTTATTTTTTACTTACACATAAGCATGTTTAAATTTTATATTTTTTATTTACACTTCGCAAAGATCAAGCATGTTAAGATATAAGACTACATTTTATTTTTTTATTCCTCAATTTTTGTTATATTATATCACAAGACCCCATAGTAAAAGTACCTACGTAAATATTTTTATAAGTAATTACAGATATCATACACTAGTTTAGTTTATTATTCAGAATTGCATTGTAGTGTATGCACATAACAGTAAAGTATTTTGTGATGATGATGTATCAAAATGAGTAATGTTAGATTTTATCATTTCATTCTAAATGTAAATAAATGTGGAGCCACACGTAGCCTGCATTATACCTTCAAAGCTCGCAGCCATCGCTCACAACAGCTCTCGACCACTTAGCACTTCGTAGCTTCTTTTGATAAAACAAAAAGAGCAGAACTCGTAACACCACGTTTCCACCGATGTGTACAATATAACGTCTTGTATATATATGAAACCAGTTTTGACCATTCATGATATAAATATAATGTCATGGACCACATGTATAAATTACTGGTGGAAACGAGGAGTGAGTGACGAAGCGTGAGAGGAGCAGATGGGTGCGTGCGGGCTGGGAAGGTGTGTGCTGAGCGTGGCGGGGTGTGGCGGTGCAGGGAGCGGCGGGCGCGGTGGGCGACGGCGCTGGCGCTGGCGGCGGCGTGGTGGGGGCGGGGCCGCGCGGCGCACCGCAAGCACCGCGGCGCGCGGCGCTAGAGCCGCCCTGAGCGGCCCGCCGGCGCGCGCACCTATTTATTCTAGATAGATCTAATTTAACCAATTGCGGCGGGCGCGCGACCCACTCGGCGGCCTTAACTTAGCGAGCGGCGAGCGGCGCCCGCCCGCGCGGCGACCGGAACCGCCTTGTGATACTGTATTATATGAGAAGGGTCGCAGTCGAACGAGTATGTCGTTATAGCAATATTATAGTCTTAACTCATAGGTAGAAGCGCGGACGTGTGCGCCGCGAGATTAGCCCGCTCCGGGGCGCAGCGTCCCGAGCGGTACCACCGTCAGAGCGGGACGAACGCGTGAGCGGTTCCGGCACCGAGCGTTTAGGAGACCGTTTTGATTTCGCGAGGCATTCGTAGATTTAACCTAACCCAGTCGCCGAACGAAAGTTCGCTATGAATTTATTTATAGACAAATCATTAGATATTTTAATAAATAAGGATCCAAACTTCTCGTTCCAGTAGGATTGTTATGATTATCGTACGTAAGCTCACATAGAGTTCCTAATAATAAAACGCACACAAATGTTCCGTGAAATCAAAACATCCGCCTCGGGCCAGACACGATCGTATAAATACTAATATAATTTCATATCGCATCTATATCAAGTGACGAATGAGTGGATATACCGAGAAACAGCTAGCATTATCAGTGCATTCTGTGTAATACAATTCCGTTGTATGTCATTACTTTACACCGCGTTAGTTCTGACGCGCTGATATGACGTCAACGCGAGGTGCACAGACAAAATCTGGGGTTGCCGTGTCGGGCCCGAGGCGCTGCGGTAAAACTATCGCAACCCATAAGCGTCCTCGACCTCGGCGCGTTCACACCGTCGCTACTTATAATCTTCGAATTCTAAATTTGACAGTACGTCGATCGCTTCAAATAATTATCCTAGAGTCGTAACGGTACTATTTAGCTATTGTTGTGAATATGAGTATGCATAGTGTCGCCTGCGCCGCCGAGACGCTGCGAGCGGGCCGCGTGGAGGACGCGGGGCGGCGCGCGGGCGGCGCCGGCGCCGGCGGCTTCTTCAATTATAATATTACGTAATATTTTAATACTAGAAATAGTCCTGTACATGAGTAGCGTAGTGTCGACAAGCCGCCGCACGCCCGCGCGACCGCGCCCTGTTGTACGAAATTTTTCATAATATATTATAGTTTTTGTTTGTCTTTATATAGAGATCGTTTTCTTGTATAATTTGATGATAACCAAAAATAGGTACCAAATATAGAAAAGATATGATTGTTTCTTAATTTTCAAAAAGCATAATGATGCTTGCATGTTGTATTGTGTTCAAAAAATTACAATTAAAAAGATATCCTCAATATGTATTTTAATATGGACTCCATTCTAAAATCCTAACTAACGACAGGCAGGTTGACCATATATTTTATATGTAAATGGAATTGCAAATGGCTGACCACCCACCATCAGATGGATAAGTTATGGTAAAAGCTAACCGCCGCCTACATACATGAACATCACTCATCTCATCTCACAGTCATCTCTCATCTCATAAACGAAACGAAACACAGCTTACAAAGCAAGCAGCTTGACGGCTGAAATAGATGAGATTGTGGTACCCATGCAGATGATTTTTTACAATTTGGTGAACCCATGAATGCAGGTTACCAACCACCAGTATACCCATCCTATCAATTAATATATTTAACAGAGACAGTATATTGTATATTGTAGTAGTATACAGTATATAGTAACAAATATGTAAGTATATATAGTATAAATAATAAGAAAAACAGATGACGGCAAATTATGTAACCCACGTGCAGTGTCAGATGACGCCACACTGTGGCATCACCGTCGTTTATATACATGAACAGCACCACTGATGTTACATTATGTGACGCCCGTGATACCACTGACATAATAAAATAATGCTTTTATCGAAATACAGGTACGTAAATAATGATATATTAGAACAATTCACATAGCCTGAAGCCCTTAGTTCACTTCATGCGTTGCCATTCTGAAACATGGCATTTAATCATGAAATTTTGAGTGTTTTATCTTAAAGAAAACATCTACTATCTATATATCACATTAATACATAGTACATATTCTAATTGTATGTGTAATTGTGTGTCGGAACGGCTTACTCTATATAGGAACTGCCGTTCCTTCCACTAATTTACTTAGCCCGCATTTTACAATACATTATCGGTCGTTGGAATAAAATATCAGTTTACATTTATCAATAATTTATTAATAAAAACAGTCAAAATTAGATTACAATGTGATACCTAATATTAAAGAAATTCAATCACAATAATTCAATTTTCAATAAATTACATCTTATAAGACATGATAAACAACCAATATAGTACAAGCTACGATATTCTTTTACATTTGTGGGGTAGGGAGTGCAGCAGGCGAGGTAAGCGATACCAGAGGAGAGTGAGCTCCGAGGCAGGCAATGCGTAGAGGTTGCGGAGGCTTGAAGATGCGCGCCTCGTTGCGCTCTACCACATTCGTCACCAATAGGTAGGCAGTGGTAAACAGTGTCACACCCTGCAAAATAATACCTAATGACATTTTATGATAGATGAGTGTGTTTTCCCTATACTACTGTTTTAATTGGCCCATTCAACCACATCCTACCCGACTCCAATTATTTCTACTTTATTGTACTATTCTTTAAATTGTTAGGGATAATTTGTATCTATGGGAAATTAGCGATCGATTTTTATTCATATAAATTTAATCTATACTAATCCACAAATGAAATTATAATAATGTACCATCGTAATTACTAGCATTAGTAATATCTTATCTTAATATTCAGACAACAAAAATAACAAAATGTATAATTTAAATTAACTAACGCGTATATCGTAGACTTAGTGGAGCCCTAATGTATCAAATCTGCATATGCACTGTAGAAACCTATATGCACTGTAAAAAGAATCGCACGGATACATTTAAAGTATAATAAACTCATACCTCTATACGAATATCATTATATTAATACCTGAAAAAACACTATCACCCTTTTTACGAAAATTGCGCGGACGGAAGAGTATGAAATTTCGCACACTTATAGTTCTCGTATAGAGAAGGAAATCAGAATGCTAATATTTTTTTTAATATTAATAAAAAAACGTCACACACACTACCATGTATTTGACAGACATGCATAGAAGTCATAGTCTTTTACAATAGTTCCTTAATAGTGTTAAAACTTATAATTTAAATAAATTGGCCACTGGCCTACGATATATAGGTATAATTCATCTGTACTAGAGTTTGTCATCTAACTCCTTCAAAGCGGCTGATACGAATAGGATTTAATTGTGTTTAAATAAAATGGAACGCCAGTAGGTGACATCGCTTTTCTTGTGTATTCGGTAGTAGCACAGATAATATAATATTACATACTAGTAATGTATATTATTACCATGACAATAATTATGGCGGAGGCGAGAGCGGACAGTGCGTTAATGTGTCGGCGTAGCTCAGCGAGTGCAGGACGTAGACAGCCAGTCCCGTATAAAGGTATGTCGCACTGGTCGCCACGCTGTATAATATAATATTTTACAATACATTTTTTAATGGAACTAGAATATCAAAGAAATAGACGACCACTTGATCGAAAGTGGTAAGTACCAGACGGTTATCGAAACTTCTATTACTATTTAATACATCATTCCGTATAAAGGTATATCGCACTAATTACCACGCTGCTTAACATATTTCTTTTATACCTAATAGGAATGATGTATTAAATAGTAATAGAAGTTTCGATAACGATACTTCTATTACTATTTAATACATTTAATACAACATACTACGATGGTGGCAAACATGCATGCGGCCCTTCTTATGATAAATGATTACCGTAGCCGCCTAAGACACTATGGATGTCACATGCGCGTTGCCTGCCCTTAAGAAACCTTAATATACCCTTCTGTAATCAATTCAAGAGTTCAATTAGGGTCTCACGTGACACGTTTCCTTATTTTTAATGTTTCATTACTTTACTATATAATAACAAAAACAAATATCAACGTTTAAGTGTACTTAATAAATAGTTAAAAAAACTATTTCCCTGTATTTAGGTATAGTTAGATGAACCTTTCCGTTCCATACTCGACCACAGCAAGCTGGCGGCAATGTACGGCGATGCTGGTACCAGTCCAAGTACGATTGCACTCCGCAGCACCTCAACTGCGAATAGCGGTATTAACCTGAGTCATCTAGTCTAATCATTTAATCCTAATTAATATTATAAATGCAAATGTAAGTTGTCAGCGTGGATCCACAAAACTATCACACAATATATACATTAGGTATCTGAGTTAGATATTTCATTGTTTATACTAATCAAAACCAAGCAAAACATCTAATGTTGGCCAATCGTTTACAGACCCCGAACATTGAAACAATGTAAACGTACAAATGTTATTAACAAATACAATATTAGGTACTTCAATTTGCATTGCACTGAAGGCACTCCTGACTGAAGGGTCGAAGGCGTCGAACGTCATCGCTCGCAGCATGCTGGTGTTGAGGGCGGTAGGTTCCCGCACCGCTCGCGACAGTCCTGTGATTGTGGACATTCCCATGGACAGCATCATCATAGCAACCGTCACTAAGCCCATCAGCTAAAAAGGAATAATCGTTAACATATACCTACTTAAATTTTAATGGTATTTGGATGTGTCAATGAACTATGATAATACATACTACACAATATATACTATAGTCATTACTCTCATTAGAATAATTACAAATAAAATCTTGGAAAATAAAAACACGTTAACAATGTTCGATTTTGCGACAGTATCAATCATTTTAGCGACAGCTTTTCGAAATCATTATTTTAAAATAATATTATAGTAACAAATTGACAATCATCCACCACTGAAAGTAAAAGTATCATTGTTTATCAGTGGCAAAACCAATGACTTTCCATCGATATATAAACTACTATAATAGATATATATGTTTAAAATACAATAAAACATACGGTTGCCATAAGCGTCATCGATTTCGTATGATAAGGCACCAAGGTGGAAAGCCAACACGTTGGTAAACATAGCATGGCACCCGTAATAAATAGCACGTTGGAACCCAGCTCCACTCCCAGGTCAGATGTCCAGAAGTAATATGACATGCGTAGGAGACTCCATGCCGTCGATCCGCCGAGAATAGCGCCGCCACTCTTTAATCAAGAATTTGTTTACATGGTAACCAAGTTCAATTATGTCGTTAATTTTATTCAATACTGTCATCCATGACTTGCTCTGCATAAAGTTTCATCTATCATCCAAAATCTATTCTTAAGTAGTCCATGAGGTATGTTTTTTAAACTATGAAAATGCAAGATAGCTGCTATGCAATTAAGCTTAATTGCATCACCTCGAGTATTTTGTCAGGTCCGGTATTGAGTAATGAACACGCGCAAGTAGAAAGTTAAGGCCTGATAATGATGGTTCTACATATATTTCCTGTTTCATTTTGACAACTTCATGCTAACAGCACCTTAGATGTTATTAAACATTTATACGACAGATTCTATCATGTGTCCTAAGTTCTAAGAACTAAGTAAGATGTTATGTAGGTTCCTAGGGTTCCCAATAATATTCCCAAATTAAATCATTGAAGCACGAAAGTATTTATCAGAAAGAAAAATATATTATTACTTATATTTTTTCAAAGCTCTTTAGTATTTTAAATGTCACATTACTTACAAGCAACAAACCAGCACATGCGAACAAAACCAATCCGCTATTTCTCATTATATTATTTTTTTAATAAATTTACTCAAGTATAAACTGAAGACGAATTATTTTTGACATAAAGAATCACTTGGTTAATTTGAAAGTTATTTGAATATCGACAACGTTATTTATATTTTATTTTCTGAAATTTCAATCATCTGTGTAAATTATATACTCAGCAAATAGTTTTGCATAGAAATCAATATGTAAAATTTTTGGGCATTCTGGAAAAAGAAATATATGTTAATTTAATATTCGATATCTAACCATGGTAGTCATTAGAAAGGACAACACATTAGTAATACATACAATTATATATTCATTATGATTGTATCTATTTATTGGTACTCATTTTATTAGATTTACCATATGTAATAGTTTAAAAATATTAATAAATTACGTAGACATCATTTATGGGAATTAATATAAAAATTTGCGAATACCTAATGCTTTGACTGCGTACATATGTAGTTAATTATCGTTTACATAAATGACTATAGAAAATATATTTCAAACATCTATAATCGATTACAGGGCATATCGAGTGTTATTTTTTATTATTACAGTATAACTTGAATTATAATAGCTAGAAGTAGCTACTACTTGTTAGCTCGATGGCACTGCTAAATTCTCTTCATCCAGTCCATTAACGGAACACTGCTAATATGGTTAAAATTCTATTGTTCCTTTCTATTGTTTCTATACAGTTGTTAAACATAGATACAGCATTTACGAAGTCATACACGTATACATGGGAATTCGGGAAAGATCTCCCAGATTCGAGTAGTACAATCTTAGTACGCAATGAAGGCATAATATCTTCATATGAACAACTGAAACACGTTTATTTTTCCGTAAGTTAATATATAGGTAAAAAAAATATAAAGTATGTACAACAATTTGTTGAAATACCAACAATCAGGTTTTTTGTTCATTCGCCTTGGCTGTACCCATCTGCTCCGAATAGGCGGTAGAATATAAAAAAAGCTAATCAAGTTTTAAGCTACAATGCTATAAATATTGTTTAAAGGTATCTTTAGTCAATTATTAGATATCGAGATAATATTAAACTCATATAATTAAGCAATCAAATATCGGACTGTATTAGACGATAATTAAAGAAGATAGTACATTGTTCCATGTTTATATTTTATTATATAATAGACTTACTGCTTTCATTGTTCATAAATTAACTAAAACATTTAAATTTCATCAAATTCTATATAAATAACTTATATGACTAAAAATACTGCGACATTAGCTAATTAAAAATTTACCCGACGGATATTCAAACCTGACATCAAAATGATGTTAAATAATAACAATATAATATTTTTTAAAATTGTATATTTATACAGGTTCCAATATGTCATAAAGTCATGTACGTGCTGGTCGAGATGAAGTGCCCCTTACTCCCTCCAACGGTCACCTTCAACAGCTACGCCAACGACGTGATAATCCAGTACGGAACCAAGCAGCCCAACACGTCCTACTATAAGATCACTGTAAAGGGTGTACTTCAACCAAATTGTGAAGTATACATAGTATAAAGAATTAATAAACAATTAATAGAACAGTATTTTTATTTCATCTACGGAACTTTAGAAACTGATCGAAACATCCTTTTTAAAAAAAAACAATTCAAGGTCATTACATCCTTATAATATTTTAATAAAAAAGAATAAACCTTTACTTATTACGTATTATTATTTATTACGTCTGTTCTTTAATAGGCCTAAGAAACATAGTGGAGAATACTCCGCCAACCAAAGAGAGTTCCTCTTCTCACAAAATCTTAAAAACGTAATGCTGAACAACATTTATATAAAATAGCAACGTGGAAGTTTATTGCCCGTTCTTCTTGCGATGAGTCTGAATCTGTTCCAAATAAAAAAATATAACTACACATTCAAAAGTGATTTACTTCAATTAAGATTATTTTTATTATGAATAGACAGCATTGCTTTAACAGATGAACTGGATGAACTTATGAATCAATACGGAGGTACTGCGTTGACCATTAATTAGCCGCAGGTTCAATTAAAATTTAGTGTACACTGAATTCTGTTTTTTTTATTATAGGTTTAGAAATATAATCAAAGTTTATCTGCGTGATAAAATTACAAAGGAAAATATTCCCAGCAAAGCAATCGAGTAAATCCAAAAGTTTGGAAGATTGAAGTGGCCGAGCAGAGCCGTGGTATCAAGAAAGCTGTGGAAGACGAATAGGCCTATAATAGATGATTATATTAGATATCGCTTAACTATCACAAAAAGTATCTACTATTAGCGATAACATGTATTAGAAGAAGTCAGTTGTTCGGGGTCTTCACTAGTGAAAGTGAATGAATAATAGATCTATTCATATACCGTCACTGATTCCTTATTAAATAAATGAGCAGACTTAGGCTTATAATGGGTACAGCATTGACGGTGTTAATTTGACATACTAGATAAAAAGTCAGAATGAAATATTCTCCGTTTTGAAGTCGGTTGAATGTAATATATATTTTATTTAAAAAATCATTTGAAATCAAGTATACAGGGAAATAATTACACACAATAACATTTGTACAATTTAGCAATAAAATCAATTTACTACGAGCCTACGATTACGACTTAATTTAAAAAGTAAGTTCAGTGTAAAAACGAACACATTACGCCAACTGCTCCTTACGAGTTATACGCATTAGCAAAATGCAGGCACAGCTATATTTTTTAATAGCTTACAGTTTTTTTATGGTATCGGCTAATGAGCATTTAGATGTTTTCGAATTTGGTAAAGTTACAAAATTTGTCATATAATTTCAACGTTTTTTTTAATGTAATTGAAATAGCAAATTGACGACCTACCTGATGGTAAGTGGTAACCGTGGCCAATGTAAGTACATAAACAGCTACACAGAAATTACATTATCTTGGAATGCCCGTGGTACCACTTATGCGTTGCCATCCCAGAGGACTTATTCATGCCTCTTTTTTTCCTTTAATTTCACAACCTTATCTCAGAAAGCAAGCTGCTTGATAGATGAAATAGGTGAGACAGAAGTACAAACGCAGACGACTTATTACAGAGTCTAACTCGGTCATCTTAATTATATTTTCATATTCCCTGATTTGTTCTCAAATTTTAATTCCTAATTCAAGGTAGAAATGAAGGACGAGTTACATTCAATGTAGCTGGTAGCATCGGGAACAGTGTAGAAGATAAATTTACCAGAGTGCCACTGAATGTAAGTTTGAATTTAGATTTCATGATCATGGAACATCTATTTTTTAAAAAAACTGTCTGACGACTGATGCAAATCAATTGCATTTCTTGAATATACTGAATTATTTAAGAGCATATTATTCACAACATGTATCCTACAACAACGACGATGAACTAGATGTCATTATTTTTAGGGAAATGTGGGAATGAAGCCACAGAGGATTTTTCTGTGAATAGTGTCGTGAAATGTAGATATTTACACATATAAACAACGTAGAGGAGAAAATATAAAAGATTAATGGATTAATTTTATTATATAAATAATAAAATTAATAATTTACATTTTTCAGATACCATACTGCTCCAAGTTAACATATGTTCGTGTAGAAATTAATAACCGACATGCCCCACCTGTTGTCCTGCTGGATTATAATGTCAACACCATCATGATCAAGTACAGATGGCACCAAATCAGTACATCATCATACCTCGTCAGCGCCAAGACCGTACCTGTACCTAATTGTACTTCCTAACTGTACCAAATGATATCGTGAACTTAATATGTAATTCCAACAATATCTATCGACAAAATTACAGTGATTAAATTAGAAATGGCATTATTATTGTTTAATATAATTTACTACTATTTGTAATGTTTTGAAATATAAATATCTTACTATCATAGTTCAGCTAACTAACCCAGTCTCCGACTAATGTCTAATCAGTCAGTGTAAAATTCATATAATACACGGTGATGTATGCCTGCAAGTAGTTTATACCTCTGCCTAGATTCAGGCTTTTGTCATATAAGTAGGTCCTTACGTAGGACAGAAGATAAAAATATGAAAAAATATATCTTAACTGAATTTATAGGAGGGTACAACAGATACAGTAAAACAAAACCCCTTTATATGTTTGATCATCCATCCCAGGTCAGTTAGATTAAATATATAATTAAAAGCGATACAAACACTACAGATATATATGTATATTTTAGATACCACTGATGCTATGCTACTCGTATCTATTTATTGAAATTTTAAGCACCTAATTCTAGTGACATTGTTACTGATCAATTACTTTCTTTGCTTACAAAATGATTATAAAAGTATTTTAATTTTCTTTTCTACGAGTTATTGGAGAAAATTAAACAGAAATAGAATTGTCTCTAATTAAAAGTCTTTAAAAATGACGATTCTTCTATACAATATTTCATCTCCCCTTTTAGCCGATTACAACCCATTTTCGCATTAAAAATAGTCTATGTCCATTCTCAGAGTCTAAGACTATCTGTGTACCAAATTTAGTTTAAAAAGGTTCAGTATACTTTGGCGTAGTTATTAACATAACTTGAACACGTTTATATTTTCTTCGTTAACTTAACTTACATGGTGTTGTAAGTTAAGCCATTCTATTATTTATACATGAAAAACGAATGTTTAATTTAAAAAAATATGTTATTTATAATTATTACTAATATATTTATTTTTTATTATTCTACTTCGTTGTCATATTAATGTATTAATTATACATATACTATCAGTTATTCTATTTTGTACTTTTTATATTTTGTTTTTGTTCAGTTGGCAAGTGGAAAATGTTACCAATTTACCAATTGGTACAGGAAATGACGCCCGTGGTGCCTCTAATGCGTTGTCATTAGGAATGTAACCATTCCTTACACTTTAATTAGTGTCATCATTCTGTACCCTGTAATATTACTTCCAAATCTCACCTTTCAACCGGAACAAGCCACCATACGAAAAACAGGTACGATATATACGCAGACAACTTTGCACATTGTCTAAAAAGCTATAATGGGTGTTGCATAAATTAATCAATGTTGGGGAGTCCTACTTTTCCTTATCAATTAATCGATTATAATATAACACTACTTTCTATTAATTTATTACATTACACTTATAGTAATAACATGAAATAATTTGCTAAGGTGTGAAATCAATTCATCACGTGTATACGCCTAATATGTTATAATGTAACTTAAAAAATCAGTTTTCTCTCTAGTAATCATATTATTAGAGTTACAGCCAAAATGAATTGGTCGCTCGTCTATTTTTTGTTCATTTACACTGTCTACACAGTAGTTTGTTCAGAGACAACTGATGTGTTTGAATTTGGTAAGAAGATTTTTTTATTACCTACACTCACTATTTGTCTATTATCTGTATTGCTGATAATTTCTTACTAAGGTTTAAGCCGAGGTTCGAAACTCTAGCAGTGCCCTCAGACTAAAGTCGTATTCGTTAGGCAGGAGTTGGTCATCAGCGTCGTTTCGAGTGCCATCTGCACTCGTCCTCTACCTTCGGATGAAGCAGTAAAGGCCAGCTGTGGCGAACAGCATTAGAATAGTTCGAAAAAAAACTATTACTACTGACTACTAGTGGTCATAGCGTGATGTTATATAGCTCATAGCCTTCATCGATAAATAGGCTCAACACTAAAAGATTTTTTAAATTCGAGTAATTCCTCATATTAGTGCGTTTAACCTAAAACATATTATTCATCTTTATAACATTAGTACAGATTACAGAATAAAAAAAATGTGTATTGTGGACTAAGACACTAATATGTATAGAAATTGCATATACATGTAAGTATCTATCTCTTGGTTCATTTTTTATTTCAGGGACCAATGTGGGCCGCGTCTCTTTTAACGTGGCGGGGTCTATCGGCAACTTGCCACAGGATAAATTTACCAATATTCCTATTACAGTGAGTACCCATTCCAACTTTTTTTTTGAGGCAATTTCAACATAGTGACTAGGTGATCGTTCAATAAGCTTTACAATCAGTCATTCAATTGTAGTAAATTCAACTAGAACTAACCACGATAGAGGAGACCAACCTGACATGGCATTGCTAGCAATGGGTTCACTAAACGGAATTACTACCTCTCTCCCTAATAAATATTTTTTATTTAGTTTTATTGTTCTTAGATCCTGCACCACGCCATTCAATGACAATAAAGAAAATATTTATTTAATTCACAGGTTGGTTACTGCATGAGAGTAACGTACGTGCGCGTGGAAGTAGACAACAAGCATGCACCACCGGTAGTAACTCTGGACTACAATGTCAACACGGTCACCATCAAGTACCGCTGGCACCAAATAAGTACTTCGACGTTCATGGTCACCGCTAAAGCTGTACCAATACCTGGCTGCTCTGCTGTAATTAATATCTAAATTCATGTATAATAAATGGTTAATACTGGGACATAAATTTAATAAAGATTTGATTTTCCATTTTTGCCCTAATATCTATCCAAATATCTTTATTCCTGTAGGTGTATTACAATCACTTATCATAAGTCAAATTCACCGTCGTTTCGTAATGTACTTAATTTGAGCCAAGAAGAACTGACAAGAACTGCTCTTTTCAAATTAGATTATAATTCTTTACATTACACTAAATCAATATGTAATAATAGCTTCAATGTAAAAAAACTTTATTGCAATAAAAACTTCGAAATAAGTACTCATATTAGACCTCTTTTTGAATACCACTATCATTGCTAGATTAGGTAGAGATGACGTAGATATGTCATATTCTTTTTGATATTTTATATACGTATATGTATATATTTTGAACAAAACTATTAAAATTTAATAAAGCTTTTAAACTTCTTACACCTTTCAAACATTATAATTCTGTTAAGACATGTCAATATTTACCTATAAACTGCTGTAATTTAAAATAGGCGCTTGTAATTTCATCGGGCACTGCAGTACAGTTCTCTTATTAAAGAATGACAACTCCTTTCCCAATAACTCGTTAGAACTGAACAACAATAGAAATTATAACAAAATGCACCCACTTCGTGAAAGGGCCTGCGAGGAATTGCTTGAAAATCCTGCGTTGCGCACGCCACCACCCGAACCGGAACCACCGCGGCCACCTCGAATTCGTAAACAGAGGGAATTCAAACTAGTTAGTAGTAAAAAAATAGTATTTATTCCAATAATATATTGAGTATCTAAATAATTTATTCAGTAACTCACAAAAATCCATACAAACATACAAACTTTCACGTTTATAATATTATGAAGGTTTAAATTTGTTAACGCCAAATACCTTAATAAGTTTAATTTAACTACAAATCGTTCAATGTATTTTTTTAATTATTATTTTTTCCCGCTAATTAATATTGTAATAAACATAACTTTTTTGTTTTTAAAATAGCCTCCAAGATTTCCACTGCTAACCAAACAATTTTATTCCAATTGGTGTAACCATCAAAAGGAGGTAATTAGAGTATTAATAGTAAAACGTAAACAATGTAATAAATTAAAACCGAAAGTAAAATTTAGTTATATAAATATTTTGGTAAGTACGATAAAAAATAACTATCAACATGTAATATGGTAATTATTTTATCAATGGTATATTATTATATGGTATGGTATGGTATATTATTAATGGTAATTATCTATTATAGCTACAAATGAGCAAACACAAAGTAGACGACAATCCCCCGGAATTGTTTCCCGAGCTTTACCTGAAGCCACGCAGGTTGGATTACTATGCTCGTCAGTTAGAAGAAAATATGAACGTCAACAAGGAGCTGCTTAAACGGATTAATTTAATTCAGCGAACAGGGGTTAGCATAAACCAGTTACCTCAATATTATTACAAATTATTTAGTACACTAAAGCATCTTGCCTTCAGGCAGCATTGCCGCCTATATGTATAAACTATGTATATTAGATAGGTTCTTTTTTTTAAATAAATTTATACCAACATTTTCAGGGCTTCGTTGACTGTTGGAATCCAGAACCAACTAATACATATAATAAATTACTTTGTAAGCAAAGACAACGAGCATTAGACGAGATACGAGTCAAAAATCTGTATTTCTATTCAAGATTACTTATTGCGGTAAGTACGACTTTATTTACTCGTCTTTTCATCTTTTGAATTCATTATTCTTAATGAATTCAAAAGATGAAAAGTCAGACATAATTTCTTATTTTAACACTGTAACGCTCGCCCAAGCGTTACTGTTCTTGAGGCCAAATGTATAATACATTCACGCTTATATTTCTAACATAAACGTAACCATGCAAACTTATCTACTGAACCTGCTTTGATGTTATAAGTAAGATTCATCTTACTTATAATATAGCATTATATATATTAATGAATTATAATGGAATGGTAATTCCGTCTACGCTAACTGTGTACTTTGTGGAGCCACCAGTGGAGGATAATAAGATTACAATGAGATCAGATGAGTTAGCCCATCGCGATGGCCATCTTGGTGATGTGTAATAACTATTCACTACGGTGGCTTCCAAAGGGAACCGCGTGGAGCCCGATGTGACACTGTGCATTACTAGCTATAGTAATGCACCCTTTCCACTCATAGCATTGAAATCAGGAAAATCCATAACCAATCGCATATCATTTACTTGACTATTCCAATAATAATGAACAAGTATTTTATTCATTCATAGCGATCGGAGCAACTGCTTACAAAAGAATTAGATAAATTATGGCAAGACACAAAGCATAAATTAATTTTGGGAGCCTCGTAAGTATTTCTTTATTACAATGTACAAATGTTTTCGTATATTTCCTGATATTTCCCGATCGGTCACGAAGCCAGTTGGATTCAAAGATCAGTCTTAATCCAAATAAGCCTACTCACAGTCAATTAGTCATAATGTTGTGTGGAGAAGTGGAAACAATATGAACGAGAGCGTACAAGAACGTAATTTATTCTGAAAAAGGAAAATTGTTGCGAAGATCACAGTTCAATATATAAAACCTATTTATTAATTGTCCGTAAGGATTAGGGCATCTGTCTTGTAGATAGATTACAGGACTAGTTTAATGTGTGAATAGTGAATTTAAAACCACTATTAATATATTTTTTTTTTCAGTTTACCGTTTATTTTATTTAAAACGGAAAAAATTGATCGTGATATAAGAGATCCTGCTTTTGAAAAACCACTAAATCTCCACCGTACTAAGTAAGTCATTTATTAACTAAATAAAAAAAAATATTTATTATACTGTAATTTCATAACTGGATCCAAAAAATAACTTGTAATTCTGCTCTTCTTTTTCATTTACCTCTATTTGTGACAGAGTATCAATGGATATTTGGGTACTAGGTGGATCGAAGATTGGTAAAGTTATAATTGAATTGTTCACCGACATTGTACCAAAAACATGTCAGCTGTTTCTATCTCTTGTAAAAGGAGACGCTCGTGGATATGCTTATACAGGGACCAGATTTTTTAGGTTTGACCATACATATATAGTATAATCTAGATAGATTGTAATAGTAATAATTATATTACACGGCTTCGGTGGTGTAGCGGTTTAGCACACCGCTTTGTGGTCGCAGGTTAGATTATGTATTTATATCAGTTCTCTAGTAAACATATCACAAGTTTGTTTAGCTTGTGACTAGATGTTTTGTGAATTGTCCTAGGATATTCTTGTTATGTATGTATATATATCAATTTATATTATTTAGTCAATGTAAGTAATTACTCGGTTTCAGAGTTGTACCAAACCTATACTGCCGAGGCGGAGACGTCGTCAAGGATAACGGCTTTGGATGTTACTTACCCGAAGGCGAAGTGGAGCCGATGGGCGCCGAGAACTATTGCCTCAAACACTCCGTACCTGGTTTGTAATTCTGCAGTTTTTAATCGATTGTTTTTAGTCTTGTATGTAATTTCTCCTCTAAACTGAACGGATTTTTATGTGAATTCTAAAATTTCGGGTCACGCACAAGCCTTGTCCTGCGGGTCTATTACCTAAAAAGCTCAAATGTTGTTAAAAAATGTAGAAAACCTCTTAAACAAAAATCTTTTGGTAGTATATTAAAAATATAGTAATCTGCTACAGGTGTTTTGTCTATGGCGGTAAGTTCGGACAATGAAGTGTGTGGACAATTCAATATTATATTTAAACCTTTGTCACAGTTTAATGGAAAGCACGTCGTTTTTGGCAGAGTAAGTAACTAATTAATTATGTATGATAATATTATACAATAGTTTAGGCTACTAAAACACAGTCATCTAAAGCTGTATGTATTCTCAAGTTACCTCAGTTTGCATTCTTTACCGATGTAAAAACGTATAAATATGTCTATTAGAACTTCGGACATTCTATTTGCAGAATGTCCAGCTATTTGTCAATTTAAGACATCTTTTTTATATTTTAGAGCCGGTAGGTCCGTTAAATATTTTTGTGTATAATTATTATACTTTATTGTAAGTAGATTTGCACTTTCTATTCATGAAATTACAGTAACATTTAACACAAGATTTTTACAATAAATTAATAAAGTTAGGTATTAAGATTGTTGCAGGCCCCACACAAACCCTAGAGAGAATCAGTGCCCTAGGACTACCGCTTGGAACCACCACTTCGGATTGCATCATTCGTCAATGTGGCTGGTACACACGCACAGGACAGTTTAGGGTAGGGAATGAAAACACTGTCAAGTTCCCACCCCGAAGAAAGGGTCAAAAATGGTAAAAGGTAATTGAAGAATGGTAATCAAGTACTTTTTCTTTGCTTTTTTTATGTAATTGGAATGGCAAACAAGAGGACAGCCTACTTGAAAATAAGCGGTAACCGTTGTCTATATATGTATATAAACAGTGCTGTGCACATCACGTTACTATATGACACCCGTGACTCCTGCATTTAGCACCCTATAGGTAAACGAAACACGTCTTACAAAGCAAGCTGCTTAGCAGTGGAAATATGTGGGACTATGTATATGTATATAATGTATGTATCCACGTGTCCGCGTGCATACCTCAATCTCTCTCTCTCTCTCTCTGCATAGATCTCTAAATCTATTGACAGTTATATACTAATAATTATAATTATTCCACAGCCAGAAATTGAAAGCCATATTACAGATATATAAACTCCATTTAGCAATCGCTTTTGAATGCAATATATCATGTTCCAGGTTATTAGAAATAAAATAATAATAGAAACAATTATTCTGCTACATTTATTTCTTTGCGGGGTTTTTTTTCCATACAACTACTATCTCCTAAATTCGCTTCCTTGTGGATCCAACGTTTTGATATATTAGATTTTATTATATTATTTGACTTTGATTGATATCATTATTTTCTTTTGTTTTCTAAATGTAAATTAATGTTTATAGAAAAAATAGAACTAGATACTTATATTTTAAATATTTAATTTATAAATTACACATAAATTAGAAAAATCGTAATGCACAAATACAAGCGACGAGACGATCTATCACGTGACATTCAGAATCAAAACAGTCAATATTAATTATTACCATTATCAATATTAAAGTCACAAATGGAATTCTGCGTTATCGTAGTCACTCTATTTTCACAAATAAACCGCACGACAATATTAACGCCAACAGCTGAAACAGAAAACATATTGCTATTTATGAAATTTCGCATATTTATAGTTTATATAGAAAAGTGCAGAATGCTAATATTTTTTTTAATTATGTATAGAAATGTATTTAACAAACACACGCATATATGTATATTCTTTTTTAATTGTTATTCCTGGTTCAAAGATCTTATTGTATTTTTTACGATAGTGGAATCTCCACTACTAAAGTAATAGATCAGTGGACGTCATAATTTTCCACATTAAAACGCTTACTATGTACAATGTACATAATGTATTTGGTCTCACCATAATCAATGCCACCACGATAGCAGCAGCCCCCACATACACTGCGTCTTCTCGGAGAAATTCCACCACCTTGTTCAAGCAACCGTCCATGTACATAGTGGTCGGATTTGATGACGTCTTACAATCCAGTCTCTGTGAAATAAAGTATAACATTATTAGCATTTTTTAAAAGACTTACAATAAAGTTTGTTAGCAGATCTCGCCTAAATTGAGACAAAAATTACGTATTATAAATATCCAATATCCATTATGGCACGTGACGTCACCACTGGTGGTCCCTTAATCCTCAAAAATCACAAACGTTATTATTATTCATTACAATAATTCAAGCCTACGTTGTTAACCTACAGGGCATGGCGTATCTATATCTGAGGATGGACAGAAATAGATAGAGACCCATATGATCTAGCGCTCACAAAACCTACACGCTTTAATTTCCAACGTTGAAATATATTACTTATAAAGAGTCAGAAGCTTATTTTTAATCAATTTAAAATAAAATGAATATTGCTTAATTAATTAATTATTAATTTATAAAAGTTCAATGCACAAAATACTAAGGTAAAAGTACATAAGACGGACTTAACGCCATACGGCATTTTATACCAGTCAATCATAGGTAACGCAGAGAAAAAATTATATATTTTGGTACATATTACCTTTCCAGGATACAGCTCCATACAACAGCTTTCCGGATAATTGCCATTCCAGTCCTTGTAGCTCTTTACACCGCAGCATTGTAGGTACGTCTGCGTGTCATCCCATGCCACAGTATACTCATGCTTGACGCCGTAGTACGGAATGGCGGCGTACATCTCCCTGTCAATAGTCGTGAGTACCTTCTCGCGGAAGACGAATTGTAGGATCCCGCCCACAAGCATCACCACGAATATGATGAACACCAGTATATAATACTGAAATTAACAATTAATACAAATTTTTATAGGAATATATTTTAATCAAAAATTATTATCATTTTATAACATTCGACAAGCGGCTTCGGTAGTCTAGCACACCGCTTTACTTCCGATAGTCGAGGGTTAGATTCCTCGCACGGTACCAACGTTTTTATTCATGAGTATGATTATTTTCTATCGGTCTGGGTGTTTTCTAGGCATAACATGGATGTATTTATAAAAAATAATTATCTATGTATATAATGTTAGATGTCTAGTACGCAGTACACAAGCTCGGTTCGGGTCTAGATGGCGCTGTGCTATACCCCTAAACTAGCGATGCCGTCATACAACTATTGAATGGAAATTAAAGGATATAATAATCTATAATGATGAAGAAAGGGATTGTTAGTAATAGAGAACAGTAGCCCCTTGCTAACAATTTAGCATGTTAGGTCGACCTCCACACGGTCCCCCTGGAAACCATCATCGTTAATTCCTAGTGAATTCGTCACGACGGGCTAACTGACCTAACTTCATGCTCATCCTATCTTCCTTCACTGGTGCCCCGCGTAAACCGTTAGTTGCGCTAACGGTTAAACGGGTTTATTTCATTAACATCCATAAAAAAAAAATTAATAGTACTCGTAGCTAAGGTGTAATGCATCTATACCGTGAGCAGCATGCACTTGACCTCCTTGGCGGCGCCGCAGCAACCCAACAGGGAGAGCACCATCATGGCTGCGCCCATGGCCACTACGACCGCCACAGACGCAATGAACATGTTGTTGCTCAACAGCGTGCTGGAGAACGAACGCGACGTCCACACCCATAGCCCTATACCCAGAGCTAATGCACCGCCCACCTGTAAAAAAAATATACCTTAGTACATATTACATATCATAAGATATCATAATTATATCATCATGATTTTTGAATTTGTATTTGAATAATTATCACCAAGATCTGAATATTTGGAAATTTTACTGTAGAATTTGAATTTTAAGGTAGATTTGCTAAATATTGTAATGTTTTTAATTATTATGCCATTGATATTATTCTATTTTCTATCTTCAATTTATTCAGAAAAAAAATCCTAATTTGCTCAAGACATTTATACGAAATTGTTTAATACAAATAGACATTTATATGCAACACCTATATTCTGATAATAGTAATAGACCAACATTAATTGTTCTGTGATCACACTAAACAGTAATCCTCGACTAAAGAAACATAGCATAAAATACGTATACAAGGAGATACAACATTATAGCAATCATAATCATCAGGTTGGTTGTCAGCTTATTACACATAAAAAAAGCAAATATATATATAGAAATGATCAATGCAGTTATGCTTATTTATTTTGTATATGTATATAATACATTTCTGAATATTTTTTAATTATTTCAATAATACTGCTCTAAAGATTTCGATGATATATTTGTACTTTCGTAACTTTTCATATTTAATAACTTTACTAGAAACTCGAGATTTTCTCCGATTACCTAATTCGAGAAGAATCCAACAATAATCTCTTCTATATTAATAACATTTTTGTGCATGTTTCAGACTAATCAATGGAATATTTTGATTTTGCTATGCAGGCTGCATAGCAAAATCAAAATATTCAAATATTAATATTCAAAGACTACATGTCTTAAAAACCGTTAGTAATAGGCAGAAAATGTCAACATTTGGCGCCTAGCCTTTGACCGTTCTCCACCCCTTGTAGGTAATAACGTAGTAGAGCGGTCAGATTATGATTTAAGTGGGTCGACCTCGCTCAAGTATAACACGAAGGTGCTAATGTACCGACTTACTAGGGTGATGACGTTGATGCATATTAGGGAGAACTTCATACAGCGACCACAGCTATCCATTGCTCCTCCCATTCCCATTGCTACTCTGTAATTATAAGAAACACCACTGTTTTAACATTATATATATGCTTACACCATCATTTGCCCTGACTGACTATAATAGCACATCCAAAAGTACTAACCGAAAGCTAAAATTTAAAACATAGGTTAAGCATCCACTAAGAAAACAGATGATAGGTTACGGTAGAATGGTTATATAAAGTGGACGTCTTTCATTCGGGATTACTTTAACGACTACATAGTTATAATTATTTAGAATATAATTCGACGATGCATTTCAATAGACACACCCTGGATATATACTTAATCGCACATAACTATTCAACGAATAGCCTATTTTTTGTAACTTTTTGATAGTTGGTGCACATTTCATTTAAATTTGCATTTACTTTTGACACAAAAATAATTACCTTGCTATCGTAATCAGGTTTAAAATGTTAATAATGTCATTATTGACAATTAATCTAGACACCTGCGTTATTCTCACCTCCAATATGTTTCATTATTTTTCCTTTCCTTTTTGTTTTGACCGGATGAAACCATGTTTTTCGAGTCCAGATATAGATTTCGCTTCATAGCATTTGTTTTCAAATTAAATAATTGATTTAAATAATTATAAATATGAATAAACAACACAATAGTATTTGCACACTACAGCAGACGGGTAGTTCTACTTGTTAAGCAATAATTATTAAATACCCTCTTTATAAATTTATAAATTACGATGTACATCAAATTTATATCACCTATTTTTGCCATCAGAGCTTACTTTGTAAAATGTATTTTATGTTCAGATATAGCAGTGAAATTACAGGTTTTGAAGACATGCCAGCTTTGTCCTTTTGTGAGCGTCATATGACAATATTCGTGATGCTGTTATGTATATAGTTTACCATGAGATGGCGTGTAAGAAAAGTATAGTAAAATGTTTGCGTGTAATTTTAGTTGTTAAACTTTGATACTTGTATGTCAATGAATTACTTGCCTTATTATTTTATTGTCAGTATGGAATTATTTTGACTTATATATTGTGAATTTTTATAAACAAATACTCTAACATAATAAATGATATACCATTTGATTTTGTCATACATACCTATGGGTAGATTTACAAACAGTATCGTACGATATATAGGTAGTTATGTTCCAGCGAGCTGTTGTAACCAACTCTAATTTCTACGCCCACGCATCAATTTACGGTATTTCTTATGGCACACTTGTGACTTGTGTCATTGTTTAGGCATGTATGCCGTGAATATTATCATACATGCATTACCGGAGTGGTAACACGTACGAGAGAAGTTACAAGTTACGTGAGGTGCGCGGACGCAACTGGCCTCAAGGTAACACTGGATAATACAAGGTCCATCTAATCCCTTCTCTTATTGATGTTATAGGTAAGTGAAAGTTATGAAAATCATTCAATTCTTACTAATCCAAAAAATGTATGACATTGCATTACATACCTAAGAATATTGAATTTATTATCATGACTATATCCTCATTTACCTAACAATTCCATTCAATTTGACTACTATAACTAAACCTGTTTTATTTTTCTCAAAATAGCCACTTCACACGAACAGCTCACATTGTATACCCGGTAAAATTTAATAGCAGTCACGCGTTGAAGAAATAATATTACCGGATTTGTATTCATCGTTGGCATAAACATATTATGATGAATGGCTATTATATGCCCCCTTGTCCCCAGTGCAGCTTCACCGGCATTCCATATCAAAAAAAGCTGTTATAACAAGTATATTTCACCTTATAATCTGTAGCTCCGAGCGAAATCCAGTACTATCTTCCTTAAAACCGATACAACAATACGGTTTCACTTTACCATAACTTTTACTTTCACGTCACTATGAAATTTACTACAACCGAACGTGCGTAGTTCATTCACTGTTTATTAAATCGATCGGTAACCACGACAGGTGCGTGGTGGTCGGTGGGACAAATGCAACTGGTTTTGTCGTGGTGGACACGCGACGCCCCACCAAGCCCATGTTGTGGCTTAGCTGCCTTCGAAGGTTCTCTTGGCATATTTATGCCTCCAACTGGGTCAACTAAGTTAATGTGCAATTTAAATCTTTTATTGCTATAGGTAGGAAGCGATGGATACTTGCAATATTATTGCTTACTCCATGTGTGCACATTGCTTACATATTTTGTTAAGTATGTTGTTTGTAAGTTTGATATTTTTATTTCCTTTTTTAAATCCGGCATTTATAAAAAAAAGTTACTTAAATTTTACACAGCTTGTACAGTTACAAAGACAAAGAGCCTGGAGAAGTAATAGTGTATGATTTTTTATAAAAACAAGCCTTATTCCATCAATTTTCTTAACAAATTGAGTTTTAGACTAAGTATATGGTAATTATAAATTAATTTATAGCCTGCCTTAATTAACTAAATAGAAGTAACAGTGTCAGTTACTCATTTATAATCTGATAACGTGAAATGCAACAAAAATGTGACAAGGGTGACCCAACTTCTCCCCATAATTAATTTACAAGGGCTGCGGTCACGCACTTCGCCCATTTTACGTTAGACGTACTATAGTTACCCACGAGTAAACAACAAATGAGTAATAATAAATAGTTGACACAAAATAATAACGATACATGTCTAAAAAGACTTATTGTCTCTAGAGAGAGAGAGACGATAAGTCTTTTTCAATTAGTAAGACAATTACTCTCTCTGAGAGAGAGAGAGTCTAAAAAGACTTATTGTCAGTGTAACGCTAAAAAATATTATACTAATTTTATAAAAAAAAAATACGACACAGATCTTTGTCTGTGACCTTCGTAACATGAAAAAGGAGTACCTACATTTCAGTTGAGTTTGATTTCTTTCGCAATCTAGAAAAACTACTATCTGACATTAAGTTTCTTGATGATTTTCATTTCTATTCAGAAAGCATCTCTTTGGAAGCTGTATCGATTGGTGAAAAGATATGACAATTATATTACAGGATACGGTGCTATAATGATAATAATAAAAAAACCAGTTTAACATAAAGTAACGGGAGACTTGGCATAACCCGTCCTCGGTACTAATCCAGCATAGCTGTGATTTGTGGGCATAACTATAAAATCCACAACAATTTTAAGCATAGTTTGCATGGGTACTAGACAACTGATATAAATACATATATAATATACCTACATAGTAAATACCCACACCAATATAAACAATCATGTCAATCAGTCATATAGTTGTTTGTACCGTGAGTGGAATCGAACCCGCGACCATAAGTGGTAAGGCATCAGTTGATGTTTGTGATGTCATATACCTGTTTACACGATGTTTACGCTTGTAAATTATTATCTTATATATTTACCAACACTTAAAAAAAACAAAGTGAATAGTTTTTGCTAACATTTTTATAGGTACCTACATTATATATAAACTTGTGGCCACGATATAATCTAATATAAGTACAATCAAATAGTCATTATTCCAAACACAGATAATATAATATTACATACAGATACCCCATCCCATACAAGAAAATGGTTCCTTCCTAACTCGGGCTATTCTTCGGGCTATTTTATTTCGCCGCCGTAGGCGCTAGATGTCGCTATATCTGAAGCAGTTCGGATTACTAGTGGGTGATTAGTAATAAAGCATGAAAATAGATGGCAGAGAATTCGGTCTACATGACATCTGTTTTGCAAAGATACGTACATAATAGATATATAACTGTATCGAACTCCTGATTGGGTACAATGGAAAATTCAATGTAGTTATAATATTGTTCGCTGACAGTCTACAGACACGGCTAATGTACCTATGTATCTATATATATATATATATGCCTACTTTTTTTTCTCCCGACGAAGATATGTCGTAACGCGTCTGCACTAAAATCGGGCTATCGGTTAAGGAGCAATAGCTCCTTAACGAATAGCCCGATTTTAATACGGTTTTTTTTATTTAAATTGTTATGTGATAGTGATAGATTTTAGCTATAATCAATTGATGTGCATATGGGTACCTCATATAATTTTCAGTGTATAATTATTTCTCAATATGTAGTTAATTATGGTAAACTGGCAATTTGTAAAACTGAAAATAATATCTGCAAACCATCAATCTGTTATATGTAGGTTCTTTCAGGGATACTACATCGGTGCTAATGACATGTAGGTTATTTTGATGTTATACCTATTTGTAGAACCTTCGATATCTACAAACTACGCCTTTACTGCTAGTTTTTTGGTATTCATGTAAGTTGTTATTCAGTTGAAATTAAGCTGCGAAATTACATATTTGGACATAACATCTAAATGATAACGTATGCTATAACGACATGATGACGTAATGCTGTTTAATAATATATGTGTATGTATGTACAGCGTCGTGTTGGATGGATCGTCACTTATTTACCATTTCAGTTCATAATAGTAGGTAGTAACTTTTGACAATATGGATGAAGGAGGGTAACGGTGATGATGATGAGATCAATAATGACTGTTGACGATAGTGACGGTGGTATTTATTTATGACCACCATAAAATTCATCATTGGCAGTATTCTCAACATCATCATTGTTCATCATGATGATTGAATCAAATTAATTAATTGATTAAAAAAGTAGCAAGTATTAGGTAGGTAAAGTCCTTATATGACTTAAATACAAGGTTCTGGGATTCTGATATACTACAGTCTCTAGATTTTGTTTCTTATTAGTACTCCACAATGACAGAGAAATATAGATTTACACAAAGTTTTTTGATGTAAATGGGAATTATTATACACATTGCATTAAAAAATATATCATTATGTAGTAAATAATTCCTGACATTTTAAATCGAATGAGGTGAAACTAACATTGCATGAACACAACACTTGAAGATCATAACATTTTTATTTCAGGTAATAAAACACTTTTTAATAATTTATTAATCACAGAATAAACAATTGTTAATAATTTACAATAATATTTCTTTCACTGCTTGTCTGTTATACCACTAAAACTTCAAACACTTCTGTTATTTTTATATTATATTCCAAAATCAATATCAAGACATAATATTTCATCAAAATCATTTCATAATTAATTCCTGGTACACAAAATATTCCTGATTTGTTGATGAAGCAATATAATAATAATCATGAGCTTAAATCATAAACTTATTTGTAGTCGACACATAATATAATTACTTGGAATTTCTTCTCATCACTAGTCCTCCATTGCTTTCCATTGCTTTATTTAATTATATTATTAATTGCATTGTGATTAATAATTTACAGATTTTTCTTCTGCTTTTTTCTCTTATTTTTACTTGCATTATTATTTTATACAGTAGAATGTTCATATATATATATATATATATATTTCTTATTCTTTTGAACTCCTGTTCTTTACAGTAAAAATGTTATTTATCTTCATCTGAATGACTAGGAGATTTAGAATATCATCTCTTATTTGTTTAAACTTTGTTCAGTATTAAGTTGTTGATGTCCGGAAAATCTGAAAACAATATCATATACCATGTTACATTTTCATGAACTTACATGAATGAATTTACATGAAAGTAACTAAACTGTAACCTTATTAGCACAATAAACATATTATTCATACATCATATTCATTCAGTTCTAATAAAATATAAAAATAATACTACTGTTTAGTACTTTATTTTGATTAATAATTTTCAGTATTTTCTCAATCAATCAAAAATTATAAAATCAGTTACATTCATAACAATAATGTCACCAAGTACCTATGTTTATTATATTTTAATATGAAAGATACACACGCATACATATGCAAGTTTTTAACAACTTATAGTTATACCTGGTATGAGATAATCCTCAAAGACACAATAGTTTACTAAATATTTGTAGTAGTCCTTAGACACATTTAAATTATTGAGTTTGACAAAAAAATAAGAAGTTCAATGAACTCTGAACAAACAATTCAAAAGTTGAAGTACCTAAACTTAAATGATGAAAAAAGAGAAAAATTCCAATGCTAGTGAAAATATGTTTTAAGCATTTGACTTAAAGTCGTTTATCCTATTCTTTTATTCCTATATTTTATATTTTTAACATTTCATGTATGTTGCCAGTACTCGTTGTCATTTCGATATAATAAAAAAATATGGACCAACCTACGATTTTAAATCGATATTTTTATTTGTGATGAAATCTAATAATATAAATTATGAATAACCTACCCTCGAATGGAGATATTAAAAAACTAATTATCATGAATAGTAGGTACTAGGATCAGTGTATATCATAGTATTATGAATGATTATCGTTTCAAAACCTTGTACAATTTAGTTTGAAAATATCCTTCTACAAAAGCTAAATTCGATATATATGAGTATTTTAAAAAATTCGAGGATCCTCATATTTAGCTATCAATGTCAGTTTTAGATACCATATAACACTTGTTTATTGAGGTTTCATAAAGGTATAGCTGACCTTATATACTCTATACCACATTCAATTCTCATTCATAAAACTACAATAAGTAGGTATTTATTTTTTTTAATAGAAGAACTATGTCACTAATGTCATTAATTGCTATAATTACCACGGTGACCGCGTGGAGGTTGATATAATAGAGTACACTTATATCAGATCAATCTAATTAATATTTCCCTCTTCAAGTTTCGAAGCGAACAGATAAATATATAGTACTTGCATACCTGTCAAAATCTCTCTATTTTACCGTCGTCGAGTAAAAATTATGCATTGCAATTCGTTCCAAATAAGAGTATAATACAAAATGATGAAATTTTACTGTTTGCAAAGACTAATTAAAAGCACCATCGAATAATGGTTGTAATATCCTGTTATCGATTATTCGAAAAAATCGATAAATCTATGCATTTATTTTTAATATGGCAACACTTTCTAAATAAGTATTACTGGAATAATATGGTTTTCTTGTTTAGCTGTTTTATATTTACTTAAACTTTTTTTATGTTTAATTTATCATAATAATATAGTAAGT